AGTGCTGAGCTCCAGAAGATCTAGAAGCAGACCAAGTGGTGGAAGTTGAAGGACCTTCAAATTCAGGGGCAGAACAGATAATTAGGCATGGCTCTCCATATCCATGGAAGGAATGGAGTTTGTCACTCCCAACTTACCCAAATGGTGTGAGTAGTCAAGCAGCCCAAGGCTGGGAGAAGGAAGCAAGTGAGGAAAAGGCAAAGTGGGAAAGGTCACCATAGGTGGTGGTAGTTCTTCCTACCACTCAATTTGCCCTCATGGGTTCCAGATGGCCTGGTGCTGAGGAAGGGGATGAAGGGAAGGCAAAGGGATTACATGGGACTGTAACTCACTCATATCAGCAAATCGTCTTGGCAGCCTTCTGGGTATGGGTGCCGTGCACACAAACTACATAATTTACTGTGAGTAAATAGATTTTTAGATTTATATGCCTGGAACATGCGTAGCAACAGTGTGACCATTAGATGGGGGCTCTTGAGCTGTGGGTTAGATTGGTTGATTATCCTCAAAAGCACTCTGAACCAAGAAAGTAGCATGTGATTGCAGAGCTGAGGTAGAGGCGGAGGGGTGGGATTCAGTCTAGAATTGTCCAGGATAATTTGGGAATTTATGTAAGACTATTTTAGAGTATTAGGTCAAGCTAAGGTTAACTCTTCTAGCAGCGAAGGGAACCACTAAAGGGTTTTGTTTTGGTTTTTTGGTATTGATGAGGGGTCTAAAAAGCTGTCATCTCTCCACACCTCCCAAAGCAAATTACGAGTTTGAATACTCCCAAACGATCCCCACACTGTTCTAATCTCTTGAAAGATAGACAGAGTTCATATGAGTTCACCACTGGGTGTTACAGTATTAGACATATCCTCAGGGCCTACTCAAGAACTCATTCATTCTTGGAACAGTGACTGGTAGACATTATCCCCTTGGGCATTGGAATGTAATATGCCAGGTTGACTCTGTCCCAGCTCTTGCCTTGTTTCTGTCCTCTTCCCCTTCCCCCCTCTCCATCAGCTGTTCTTTTTGCTCTGCCAGGAGCACCTCATACTATCAACTTTCCTTCTCACTCCTCCAGCTTCTACTGCTGCAGCCAATCTCAGTGAAGAAAGAGAGATTGAGATTTCCCTTTTCCTTTTAAATGAAGCCCACTGGCAGCTACTGGCCTTCTGGGGGAAGCTCAGCTTTCTGGGGGATGTAGTTCCCCAATGTGGTATCTGTACCCTGGAACTGTTCCCTTGCTTCAGCAAACATCCAGATGGGAAATGAAAATTAAAGCAGCCAAAAAAAAAATTGGAAATGTTGCGAATGGAGAGGGAGAGCATTTGAAAGTTATCATGGGCATCGGCCTGGGGCAGGGACAACAATCTTGGATTGGGAGTCAGGTGACCTGGGTTTGACCTTGGGCAACTCTTTGAACCTCTCTGAGCCTCTGCTTTCTCTATAGAATAGGAATCCTGCCTCTGCTTCCTCCTTTCCAGGGTTGTTTTGAGCTCTAATTATAGATCTAGAGAAATGGAAGCCGCCATCATGATCCCAACTGCATCCCTGACAAGCCCTGCGTTATTTATGGTATGAAAGCAGCCCTTAAGCATCACAAGCTTCCCAGGCTACAACCCTGAGCCTCTGCCTTAACTAGAGGCTTTCGGCCTATGGACACGCAGCCAGTTTTTCTATCACACTCCTCACCAAGTTCCCCTGGACTTTAGCAACCTCTGCTGCCAAGCCTCAGGCTTAGCCAAACTCAGCTAGAAGAGGAGGTTCCCCTGACAGTGTGGCCTTAGGGCTGGCAAGAGCTTTGCTGGAAAGTGGTGACCTTGACTTACATTATGGCAACTGCTTTATGCAGCTAAAATCAATTTGGCAGATATTTAGCACCTACTGTGTGCAGAGTGTAGTGCTTGGTGCAGAGGATACACAAACGTAAGGAAACAGTCCTGGTCTTCAAGGAACTTCCACTCCAGGGAGCTGCCTGGGATAACAACAGAGAGAAAGTGCTCCAAAGTCTGGAAAGTATTTACATGCATTGACTCTTGAGTCTCTCAATAATCCTGGGAGGTAGGTGCTCTTAGTAGCCTAATTTTACAGGTAAGGAATCTGAGATTCAGAGGAGTTAAATGTTTTGCCCAGGGACACACAGCTACTACTTATTAGATAGCATAGATCATGTCCGTCTCTTGAAAAATCCCTCACCAGCAACCGCATGAATGGGTCTTTATATTTCCTGCTTATTCTATATAGCCGTGGCCAAATTGAGCTGTGCCAAACCCCAAGGAGACTATAACCCTGGTGTTCCATCTTTGTCCTGCTTTAGCAAAAGTCCTCCGGGAAAGCATTGTTCAACCTGAGTTGCTGTCATCTTAACCTGGCGGAAAAAGAATACTTTGGATTGGAATTCCGGAGCCAGTCGGGAAACAACGTAAGTTGGTTTGGTCGCAAAGCTCCTGGGGGCCAAGGCCAGATTGGGCTTGAGGATTGAGACTCCTAAGGCCCAGTAACGGGGAAGAAGTGGTCAGACCAATGTGGGATGTTGATTTCTACTCCTTGCCCTACCTGAAACTGTATTTACCCTCAGCAAGCAAAAATTGGCTTCAGTTCCATTCAACAAATAGCTAGTAAGTACCTACTGTGGGTGAGACCCTAAACTCAACATTTATTACAGTGCGTTCATTGATGAAACTACAAAGCTATATATGACACAGGGCTTATCCTCCATGAGTTTCTATTCTAATGAGGAAAAGGCCAAGTGTGCAAATGAACATGATCCAAGCAAGAGGGGGATGAATGCATAGGAGAGGACCTCATAGGTGCATTTCATTTCTTAGCAGAATTTCTTTGCTCTTTCCTCTTGCTCAGACAGAGGATGATTTATGTGCTAAAACCCAGTTCTTTTTTGTCTGTGAAAGGGAGGAGGGGGAATCTGACAGTAGGTCTGTCCCTCTGGTAAGCTGCCTGACCCATGTCTACCCCCTCACGATCCCCATTCACCTTCCCAGTCTGAACCACTTCAGTGGGTCCTCAGGGAAAGAGGAGATAGTCTTCCTTCACTCCCCCAGCCCCAGGCTTGAAACTTTACCAAGTTCTCCCGGTTGGGGTCACCAATGGGCACCTTTGCCATCTGGCCACTTTACCCTGGAGGCTTATGTTCATTCATTAAATGCTGCCATTTATAGGTCATAGGTTTTAATTGGAAACCAAATTGCTTTCATTATTCATCTGTGGCAACTCAGGAAATGAGTCTCTGCCACCTCTCTGTAATCGATATGGAGGCAGAGGAGTAATTCTGAGAGCACAGACCTATAATCAGGAGGGTTTTCTTACAATGTTTATCATCAGCGAGAGGACAAAAGAGGCCGGCAAGGTTGGGAACTTTGTATCACCTTTTGGACACTGAGCAATCTCAAACTGCCTTTTAAATCCAGAGTGCCAAGCTAATAGTAGGCTAATTGTTGGCAGTGTGTGAGTGTGTGGGGAGGGGGTTGCACCTGATCTGTGCTCTATCCACTTTTTTAATTCCTGCCCTTACAGGTTTGGTTGGAACTTCTAAAGCCTATAACAAAACAAGTTAAAAGTAAGTGTCACAACAAAGACAACTGCTTTGCTGGTGGGACACGGGGAAAAACAACAGCAATGACAGAAGAGCTGGGTTTGCATCCCAGCTCTGCTATGTAGTAGCTCCATGACTGTGGGCAAGTTGCCTTGAGCTCACCGGCCCTCACTTTCTTAATCAAAAGACCAGATTTCCAATAGCTGATCTCTCAGGCCCCTTTAGGTCTGCCTGGTGTCTAGGTCAGGGGAGCTGGCCAAAGGAAGAGTAAGCCAGGGCCCCAGATTTCCCAGAAGGCAACAGCTAAGATCTCAAAATCTCAGACATGAGAGTAAGAGAAAGGGAGGAGAGAATGAGAGCCAGATTAGTTTCAGAGTCAGGGAGGACTCCTAAAGGAGGCTGGGTTGAAAATGGGAGAGAGCAGCAGGGGGATGGGGTGGCTAGCAGCCTGTGCTACTGTCCCTGACCACTCCTGGAGCTCAGTTTCCTCCTCTTCAAGAAGGGGCTAGACTAGGTGATCTCTAAAGCCCTTTCCAGCTCTAAATCCTATGAGCCTAGGACTTTTAAACCATCCCCTCGACCAAGTCCAGTTGCCTAAGTCCCTGATGTGGATGTGAGTGCTGTTACTGAAGTCTGTGAGGCACCAAATGAGTTTTATAGAAACCCCATAATCTCTGTGCTATCTGGCCTGGGCTGAGGGTTACAGCCCTTGAGGGCTGTGTTCAAATACTCTGCCGGTTTGCAGATCCTTGAACCTGAATGGGATATGGCTGTCCTACTGAAAATCCATTTACCCTTTGCTTGAAGACATTTGGATTGTAGACAGTGGGTGAGAGGAACCTGAGACCAGGTCAAAGCATTCTCGCCTTCCTGTTAGATTCAGAAATCAAGACCTCGCCAGAGGGATGGCTCCCTTACTTCTCCACACATTTCTCATCTTCCCCAGGCACCAAGCTGGTCCTTATTTCTGAATGCCAGAGTGCTCTTTGGAGGTAGACCATTATGTTTCATCTGCCATACGTACTGTGAGACACGTGGGATCAGCCTGGAAATTGTTGGCTCTCTGAACAAAGTGAACCCTTGTGCTTTTCATGGAATTTGAGTATCTCAGAGTTGGCAGGGACCTCAGGGGGCATCTAGTCCAGCTCCCGTAGGAGGAGGAATTCTTCTCTGCCTCCCCTTCCCCCTTGTAATAACCTCCACAACAAATGGCCAGACTTCCAGCAACCTTCAGGATTTAGGATCCAGGATCCTAAAACAGAGAACAGGTTAGCCTTCTACTCTGTTTTCTAGGACCATGAGCTAGCTCTGGAAACACACCCCATGTCACTTTTGAGATGCTGGTTCTTTTTGGGAAACAAAAATTCTTAGGAATTCCTTAATTGGAGTGATAGCCTTAATCTTGAGTATTATCCATACTTGTATTTTGTTCTTTAGCTTAAGGAATGGGGAGTCAGGAGATGGCCAGAGAGAGGGGGTAGGTACATGAATCTCAGTTAATGAAGGTGAGTTCGGTAGCAAAACTCAATGTGCTAGTGTTTCTCTGAATGTGACTCTTTCTGTCCCTCTCCTCTTCCCCCTATCGTCCCCTAGTTGAGCCATTCCATATCCTCTTTTGGGCAAGGACACAGTGCTTAAGAAAAGAGGAAATTCTGCTTAACACAAAGAATATCTAAAAAGGAAGGAGTGTCCCAGTTCTAATGTGGAGTCCGGAATGACCCAGCTGCCATTGGCTGTCTTCATTTCCTCTCCTGACAGTTAACTAGTCTGGTAGGGAGATCAGATGAACCTTGTAGACGACATCATTCACTTTGATTTCATCACAGCATTGGACAAAGTCTCTCCTGCTATTTCAGTGATAAAGACAGGGAGATGTGGGCTAGATGAGAGTACAGGGAGGTGGATTCGGAACTGGTTAAATGGGCAGACCCAGAGAGGGAGTGGTCATTCAAGTTTGGTGCCAACTTGGACATGCCTCCAGGCAGTTGTGCTTGACAACCGTGCCATTCATTATTTTTGTTAATCGCTTGGACAAAGGCATAGATAGCATACCTACTACCCAATTTTCAGGGAGCACCCTACTAGGAAGGATAGGTTTGCTGACAGGGTACAGTTACCAACATAATAGCTAATAATTCTAGCTAACATTTACATAGCTAACATATTACATGCCAGGCCTCTTGCTAAGTGCTTTACAATTGTTATCTCATTTAACCCTCACAACAACCCTGGGAGGTAGGTGCTGTAATTATCCCCATTTTACAGTTGAGGAAACTGAGGCGAACAGAGGCTAAGTAACTTGCTTAGAGTCACACAGTGTCTGAGGCCAAATTCGAATTTAGGTCTGACTTCAGGCCTGGTGCTCTATCCACAGCACCAACTAGCAGCCTATGAAAGATTTCAGGCTCAAATTATGAGCCAAATTGAATAAATGAAATTTCATAAGGATAGAAGTTGAGTTCAACACCTGGGTTCAGACAGTCAACTTGAAAAGTGTACAGTCTAGAAGGTGAGGGCATAGTTAGATAATAATTCCTGTGAAAAAAGGTCTGGGGGGTTTCAGTGGACCACATGCTAAATATGAGTCGGCAGTGTTAAATGAAAGAAAAAAAAAGGGAGTGGGGGGTGGGGGCTAATGCTATCAGCATTTCCAGAATGAGGGAAATGATCATTCTATTCTACTCTGCTCTAGTCTGGCTAAACCTGGAGATGTTTTGTCATGAGCATCACATTTTAGGAAAGACCTAGCCAAGCTAGAGTGTGTTGAGAACAGGATGACCAGGATAGTGAAAGGCCTTGAAGTCATGTGACATAGGAGGCTCAGTTGAAGGAATTAAGAGTAGTCAGCCTGAAGAAGACAAGACTCAGAGGGGATATAGTCATGTGACATTCTGGAGTATTTGAAGGCCTTTGGCCCCAGGGAGGAGAGTTAGGAATGATGGGAGGATGTTGTCCAGAGACAGATTGAAGGAAGGAAATAGCCCCTAAACAGAGCTTGAAGTAGTGGAGTCTCCTTGTGTAGCAGAGGCTGGACAGCCATTTGTTGAGGATGTTGGATACTTGGTCGGGCACCAGCTGGCCTCAGAAATCCTTTCTGGTTCTTAGGTACTAGGATCCTGATTCCTTAGTCATTAATTCATTTACCAGACATTTGTTAAGCACTGTGTTCAGCTCTTGAGGAAATACACCATTGAGGCAATTCAATTGAGTGACCCTTTATTAAGTTCCTACTGTATGCAGCACATGCTGTATCTCATAGTCTTGTGTCTGCCTTCCTGGAACTTATATCTTCATCAGGATTTGACCGAGTGAGATCTGAAAGGGAGAAAATTGATTGAATTGGGGAGGGGGTTGGTGGGGGCCAATGGACAATGACTGTGTAAAGATATTTGAGTGTTCTTGATGGGTGTTTAAATTAAACTTATGAAGATGTTGTGTTTTAAGACCCTAAGGAGATTCTTTTCAAATTTATGGTGAAATTTTTCCCAGTGGATCCTGGACACCTGAGAGACGAGCTGACAAGGTATTTATTGTCCTTCCTCATGTAGGCCGAGGTTCTTATATCATGAAGTCATTGCATGAATTGAAGGCTTGGAGTTAGTCACTCCAGTAGGGAGGGAAGATACGAAGGGAAGAACATCCTTGACTTTGTTTCTCCCCCTCAGCTACCACTACTACCGCCCACGTGGCCTTTGAACCCTACATCTGCAGCAGAGGTCAATTAACATCTAGGCATAAGACATTAAGTTGGAAGTCCATTCATCTGGGTTGCCGGGGAAGGATGGGGCATGCCATCAGTGACCACATGGTGACACAAGGGCTGGGATCAGCAGGCATGTGCCCCCTTAGGTACATGCGGGAGGATGTTGCCAATTCCCCCACTCCATGTGACCTGGTTGGGCAAGCAAACCTTAATCTTGTCCATACGACCCTGTGGATGGTTAATTTTTTATACAAAATTCCATTTCCTCTCTTTGTGATTCAAGCTGATTTCATTGGGCATTGAAAGCAGTAGATATGTGGGTACCAGGGACAGCAGCAGGTGGGAGAGAAAATGTTTATTGATGACAAATGGCTGCCAGTGGGCTAGACTTGACTCATAAACATTTTCTGTTTTCTGCAACGTATTTCCTCCAGTAATGTCAATATCAACATACCCTAAATTCTTAGCTCCCAGCAGTGATGATTTCCAGGGTGCTTTAAGGTTGTTGAATAAAGATAATAACCAGTTACAGAGCACTGTATGATTTACAGAGCACTTTCCTCATAACAGCATTGGGGGGCAGGTGGTGAAATTATTGTCCATTATGCCCATTTTACAGATGAGGAAACTGAGGCCCAAAGAGGGGAAGTGACGCTCCCAAAGATCACTAGTAAGTAGCAGAGAGGAGACTAGAACCCAAGGTGTCTGATCTAAGTTTGATGTGCTGAGAATCTGCTATACCACCCTGGCTCCCCACAGTCAGAATGCCTCTATAAGTGCATGCTCACTTCAAAAGATGTGACTTCTTTTCTGGAAAAGTTCTTTGCAAACCATTTCCCTGCAATCTTTTCTTTGTTCTTTCCTCCCTTAACCCACCTGCTAGTTACAGGACTACAGCCCCATGGAAACTTGTATAGCCCAGCACATAGTCATCAGATCATGGCAGCTCTGCCATAATTTCACATGTGTACTGATAACTAGACAAGATTTGGATTTACGAATCCCCGCACATACCATGGGTTATAGATGTCAGAGCCTAAAGGGACCTTGGAAATTATCTAGTCCAGTCCTACCCCATTTTACAGAGGAGGAAACTGAGGTCCAGTGAAGGGAAGGGTCTTGGCAAAGGTCACACAGTCATTAAGTGTGTGGGTATGGGTGTGGTGTGGGAGTGTGTGGGAAATGTAGTCAGACCCTGTTCTGCTGATACCAAGTCTCACACTCTTGCCACTATACCAAACTAGTCCAAAATAAACCTCATGAGGAATGAATGGACCTGAATTCCAATTGTGGGCAATGGAAGGAAGGACTCGCTAGACCAGGGATTCTTAACCTTTTTTGTTTCACCCATTGGGTGACCCTTTGAGCAGGTTGTGAAGCATATGGACCCTCCTCAGAATAATGTTTGCAAATGCACAAAACAAAATACTGTCTGCAGTTTACTGAGTAAGGGGGAGATGTGATCTTTAGGGAAATCACTTCGGTGGCTGAATGGAGGACAAATTGGAGTAGGGAGAGACTTGAGGCAGGCAGCCCCTCCCCCCCAGCAGGCTGTTGTAATAGTCCAGGTGTGAGGTGATGAGGGCCTGCACCAGAGTGGGGGGCAGTGTCAGAAGAGAGAAGGGGCCATATTTGAGAGATGTTGCAAAGGTGAACTCAACAGGCTTTGGCAACAGCTTGGATGTGGGGGATGAAGGAGATAGTGAGGAGGTATAGATGACACCAAGATGAGCCTAGAAACTAAAGGAAACCAGTTACGTTGAAATAGTTACCAAAATATTTTTAAAAACAAGTTCACAGGGGCAGCTAGGTGGCGCAGTGGATAGAGCAGCAACCCTGAAGTCAGGAGGACGTGAGTTCAAATCCGGCCTTAGAGCAAACGCTTGACACTTACTAGCTGTGTGACCCTGGGCAAGTCACTTAACCCCAATTGCCTAAAAAGAAAAAAAAAATCCAAAAACAAGTTCACAACCCTAGGTTAGGAAGTCTTGCTCTAGAATCTTCAGAACAGCATGGGCTAAAGAGTGGGGACCAAAGGTCATCCATCTGGCAATTCGAGAGCCTTTGAGTGAGAGGAGCATGGCTTGCGGACCCCATTCTCAGACATACGGTGGTCTGGATACAGCCTTCTTATAGGGAATTTGGCTGTGCTTCCAGGCATGAAATGACAGATGGAGTGGAGGCTTATGCTCGCACCTTGACGATTTGGACTTGTCATTTCATCAGTATAGAGAGCCGCCAGTACGCATCACCAATTGTCCCCCAGCTCCTAGGCTTGGAGCAGGACTTCTTCATCTGTGTTGCGTCATGGTCCCCTTAGGAAGTCTGGTGAAACCTGTGAACCTCTTCTTAAGATGATGGTTTTAAGTGCATAAAACACAAGATCACAAAGGGGATCAACTACGTTGAAATTCAGTTTCTAAAATACTGAGAAAAACATGTTCTGGCTAAGAGTCCTTGTCTTAGAGAGTTGCCTGGGGTCACTGATGGTGACGTGACCCGGCCAGTTCATGTGTTGGAGCGTAACCTTGACCCCAGACCCTTCTGCCTATGAGGTCAGGTCTCTCTATCTGCCACATCATGCCCCCTGTGAATGGCACATCCTGGGAAGCTGACTGCAGTTGTGGTCAGAAGGCTCAGGTTCAGACCTCAGCTCTTTTACTTACCGAGTGAATGACCTTGGGCCAAACCCTTTGTCTCCGATCCTGAGTTTACTCATGTGTAAAATAGGGCTAAAAAAAACTGGTGCTACCTCCCTCCCAGGGCTGTTGGCAAGGACTGTGCTGGGCAAATCTCTAAACAGTGTAGAAATGTGAATTGTTAACATAAGACCAACAAAACATTGAATCAGCTGGGCTGTGACCCTACCTACTGGCCCTCTCATCAACACTGTAAGGGACTAGACTGCCAGATGGGGCAACTGAGGCCCAGAGAGGGGAAGTGATTTGTCCAGTGTCACACAGGTAGTAAGAGAGCTGGGCCTTGAACTCGGGTCTCTGGACTCCCAGGCCAGGGCCAGGCCCGGGGTCATGGCAATGCTTGCTCTTGAATCAGCTTGAATCTCTGGGAAGGAACGAAGTGGTATTCTTCTTCTTGCTTTCTGCTAACTGTACTGAGGCCTGCTTTCTATCACACAGGTATCTCTTTGCCCTTCAAATCAAGAAGGATTTGGCCCAAGGAACGCTTCCGTGCAGTGACGACTGCACAGCACTGCTGGTGTCTCACATTTTACAATGTAAGTACAGACTGGGAGGGCACCTGCCATGGGGGTGTGGCCGGGCCCACTGCAGAGCATAGGAGGAGACGAGCCTGATTCAAACGGTGCCTCCTCGTCCAGGACGTGGTCAAATAGGGGAGCAGAGCAGCCGACTATGAACCAGCCTCCATCCAAAGAGTCTCAGCCGCGCTGAGCCACCTAGTTCTGCCCACACCCACCCTTGGCAGCATTCCTGAGAAGGGGCCATCCAGCTTCTGGAGAGGTGCCCTGCCTATCTGAGTCTCGGCAGCGTCCTCTACTCTAGGAGATGTTTCTTTATATTCTGCCCAGCTCTGCCCCCTCTGTGACTGCCCTTCATTGTGGAGGTGGATCTGGCTTCTCGAGGTCTAGGCCAGCCAGGTATAAGTTTCTCGGATAGGTTGGAACAGGCTGGAAAGGCTTTGCGTCCAGGCCCTTTGCTTGACTGGAGGGTATTTTTTTAAGGCCCAGCAAAGTTCAGAGTGCTGGAGCACAGTATACCAGATGAGAGTTTGGGCCAAGACTATCTGATGATAGTTAGGGGCTAGCACTGATCTGGTACTGTAAGGTTTACTGAGCACTTTCCATATGTTATCTCTTGAGTCTTACTACAACCCAGACCCTTTTTACAGATGAGGAAACTGAGGGTCAGAGAGGTTAAGTGATTTGCCCAGAGTCTCCTACTTACATGGAAGGTAGGATTTGAAGTCAACTCTTCCTGACTCCCATTGCAGAGTCCTATTTACCGTGCTACCCAGCTGCCTATGCCTAAGTCATGGCAGGCTTTTGATCTGTGTTGATGGAGGGAATTAGCAAACTCCTGAACTTGCAGGTTGTTGAAGTATAGGGACCATACCTCTGGAGCTGGAAGGGATCTCAGAGGCCATCTGGTCCAGCCCCTCCCCCTTTACAGAGGCCCAGGGAGGGGAAGGGACCTGCCCAAGGTCACGTAGACAATAAGCATCAGAAGTGGGATTTGAACTCGGGCCTTCTGAGTCCAGGGCTGGTGCTTTTCCCCCTGTACCACCTTGTTATCCATCCTCATAACTTACTAATAGAATCATGGTCAGAGTTCGAGAAGGGGCCTTAGAGATCATCTCATCCAATCCCCTCATTTTACAAATGAGGAAATTGAGTCCCACAGAAGGAGGAGACTTGTCCAGACCCTACAGCTATGTGTTTGTCAGACCTGACTCACCCTGAGAAACAGAGCCTTCTAAAGTCCTTCATCTGATTTGCCTAAGCCAGACAGAATTGGATGGGAGGAGATAAATTGACTGCAGACAGGCTGAGCTGCCTAAAGCTTTTGGCCCCTGCCTTTTGGTTTGAGTTATCCCCTGCTTAACTGTGTTAGCCCAGATAATCCCAGCCTGACAGGGATGGCACCTTAGTACACACTCGTCCCCACAAGAGGCTCAAGACGCCAGCCTGATGAAGCCTTCAATCATTTTCCAGTTTTTCTTCTTAAAATTCAACTCGGTTCCTTATAGGAGTTTGCAAGAAATGCTCACAACCCTCATTTCTTAAGAGAAAAGCAAGTCATTGTCACCCTAGCTGGCCTTGCTGTGATTGGTGTAGAGCTATATAGTTGCCATATTAATGCTCCATAGCTCAGTTGAGCCTCACAGTGACTCTGGGAAAGCAGGTGCTATTTTGACCCCAAGCTGTCATTTCATCAGTGTCAGGAGCTCCCAATGGGGAAACTCCCAACAACTCTGTAACTTACAATCTCATGGAGTTTTCCAAAGCACCAAGAGTTTTAATGACTTGCCCAAGGTCACATAGCTAGGATGTTGTAGAGGAAGGACATGAATAGTGGGTGGTTTTCCTGGCACCAATGCTAATCCTCTTTATGTACCATGTCACTTCTCAGGTACTAGTATGACCACCCTCTGAGTAAACTGAGTCAATCTGGGAGTCAGGAAGGTCTGAGTTTGAATCCTGCCTCATCCTTGGGCAGGTCACTATCTTCTCAGCCTTACTTTCTGTCTCTAAATTGGGAATAATATCATACAACTCATAGGGTTGCTGCGAGGATCAAATAAGATAACATATGAAAAGCATTTTACAAACTTTAAAGAGCTTTAGAAATGTTAGCTATTATCATTAGCATAGCTCCAGATCTGTGTTCTTGGAAAATGCCTCCTTATTTCTACCTTTCTTGGTCTTCTTTCAAGGCCCTAAGCGGCCACTCCTTCTTCTGTGAAGCTCTCTTGGAACTCCTCAGTAGTTGGGGCTCTCTGCATCTTCAGGTTTTTGTTTGCATTTTTTTTTTTTTGGCTAGGCAGTGGGGTTAAGTGACTTGCCCAGAGTCACACAGCTAGTGAATGTTACGTGTCTGAGGCCAGATTTGAACTGTGGTCCTCCTGAATCCAGGGCCAGTGCTCTACCTACTGCACCATCTAGCTGCCCCTTTTGTCTGCATCTTAGCTTTGCTTGCTATCACCCCCTAACTGTCAGGAGTGTGCTGGAGCCAGCTCTAGACTGCTCACTAGAGCTGATGGTAAAATTTTCAACAGGAGCATTTATACCTTGGAAATTGACCAAAGCTACAAATTGGGGCTTGTTTTATGGATTGTCTCTAGATTTAAGAAAGTGATAGACACAGTGCAAATCAGGTAGATGAAGCTTGAAAGTACGTCATGGTCACATTTTCTTTTCACAGAGAATCAGTCGGTAAACATTTAGCAGCATACCCTTGATTGTATTACGCTTCTCTGTATTTATGTTAGAGCCACTCCTCTCCCATTAAATTCTAAGTTACCTGACGGCAGGGACTGCACCACTTTGGATCTACATGGTAGGCACCTAATAAATATTTCTTGAATTCAATGGGACCCCCCTATCCTCTTTTTACAGATGGGGAAACTAAGGCCCAGAAAGGGGAAAGAAGAGCTTATAATCTTAGACTTTCAGAAATGAAAGCTCTGATGTAGTGAGAAAACACACACACACACACACACACACACAAACACACAAACACCCCCCCACACACACACACCACTAGAGTTGCAGTTAGAGGGCCTGGGTTCAAATCCCAGCTCTGCTGCTCCCTATTTGTATGACTTTGGGCCTCAGTTTCTTTACCTGTGAAATAAGGGATTTGGATTAGATGACCTCTCTGGTCCCTTCTGGCTCTAAATCTATACTCCTCTGCCCTCCCATTAGTATATAAGCCCTTATTCTCTTTTCTCCCTTAGAAGCATAATTCATACTCAGCTGCCTTGTTGGACTGGTCAGAGGATCAAATAAAAACATGACCTGGACAAAGGTTGCTTGCTCCATACATAGCATCTATGTTATGGGAAGATCAGCCTTTGCCCCTCCATGGGAGCTTAGGGACACGTACGGGGGGGAGGTGGTTGAGGAGGGTGATGACATGGCAACCCAAAACCTACCCAGCTCTTAGCCTGCTTAAGAGAGATATAGTATCTAGTTGCACAGAGGCCCATTTGGCCTTAATGACTGGGAAAAGTCCCCCTCCCGGGAGGCCTTCAGGCACTGAGGCTGGACACCCCCTCTTCGGGGATGGTGTAGAAGGGACTGTTATTCAGGTTGGGCTTGGCCCTTGAGGTCTCTTCCAATTCTCATAGTCTTTTTTTTTTTTTTTTTTGGTAACCAAAACTTTAATCCCGAAGGTCTCACAAAACATGTTACAAATGACATCATGAAAAAAATCTTGCCCAGTAACTCAAAAAGTTTCATCTTTACAATGTACCCTTAAACTCAAAGTTTGTGTGAATGGTTAATTTTGAATATCACCAGTTATTTACTCACAGTGCATCAACTACAAAAAGCATCTATGACCTTAAGTGGAAAAACTAAACTTCCTCCAAACCTTTTAAGGTTTTCACTCAAGATACGTGTCCACTTTGATTATCACGTTCTTTTTTTTTTTTTTTTTGGCTAGGCAGTGGGGTTAAGTGACTTGCCCAGGGTCACACAGCTAGTGAATGTTATGTGGCTGAGGCCAGATTTGAACTCGGGTCCTCCTGAATCCAGGGCTGGTGCTCTATCCACTGTGCCACCTAGCTGCCCCCAATTCTCACATTCTTAACAAGGCAGGTGAGGGTCCCACTGCCCTTTGCTCCAGTCGGCCTACATCTGGAGCATCGTGTCCAGTTCTGAGTGCCGTGTTTAGGTAGGATATTGACAAAGTGGAGGGCATCCAGAGGAAGGCATACAGGATAGTGATGGCTTCAAATTCTTGCCATATGAGGATCGATCAGTTCAAGGAATTAGGGACTGGGAATATGTTTAGTCTGGAGAGGACAAGATTTGGGGTGGGAGTACATAATAAGGGTCTTTGAGACTTTGAAATCTTCATAGGATCATAGACTTGGAGCTGGAAGGGATCACAGGAGGAAACTGAGGCCCAGAGAGGTTAAGGCATAGAGATGACTTTAAAACCAGGTCCTCAGCCTCCAGATGTTCTTCGAAATTGATGGTTGACTGACTGTTGACAACCCAATCTTCCTTCCACTCCTCCTAAATTTGTTTATCTGCAATTTGTGCCCACTGCCCATGGGTCTGGCCTCAGGGACTAAGCAGGGCAAGGGGAATTCTTCTTCCACATCAGGGCCCTTCAAGCACTTAGACACAGCTATATTGTTCTGAGTCTTATCTTCTCTAGGCTAATTATTTCCAGTTCCTTCAGTGAATCCTCATGTGGCATAATCCAGAAACCTTTCGTTATCCTGGTTGCTCTTTTTTGGGTACACGTTAGCACATCAGCATCCTTCCAAAAATGTGAGGCACACATTCCTCCGTTGATATATGGTTAAAAGATGTGAACAGGTGGTATTTAAAGGAAGAAATCCAGGCTGTCAACAACCATATGTAAAAAAGGCTCCACATCACAAATAATTAGAGAAATACAGATGAAAGTGACGCTGAGGCTCCACCCATCCGATTGGCAAAGATGACAAAAGAGAAAACTTAAAAAATTTAGAGGGGTTATGGAGAATTGGGCATATTCATGCACTCTTGGTGGAGCTGAGAATGGGCCGGCCATTCTGGAAAACAATTTGGAATTATGCACAAAGTTCCTAAGCCATGCATGCCCTTCGACTCAAAGAGACCCTCTACTGGGCCTGTACCCCAAAGAAATCAAAGAAAGACCTAGGCACATAGTAGGTACTTAAGAAATCTGTATCGATGATCTGTACAAAAATATTTATAACAATTCTTTTTTGTCGTGGCAAAGAATTGGAAGCAAAGGTGATGCTCGTCAAATGGGGAATGGCTAAACAAGTTATGTTATGTGAATGCAATAGAATACTATTGTGCTATAAGGAATGATGAAGGGGTTGGTTTCAGTGAAACCTGGGAAAACTCACATAAACTGATGAAAACTGAAGTGAGCAGATCCAGGAGAATAACTCATACAATAATAACAACATTGTAAAGACACACAACTTTGAAAGACTTCAGAATGCTGATCAATGCATTGACCAGCCATGATTCCAAAGGATCCGTGATGAAACATGGTCCTGACAGACTATGGACTCAGGCTGCCAAATGAGACATTGGTTATCTTAGACATGGCCAATGAGGGAATTTGTTTTACTTGGCTATGTATATTTATTACAAGAGTTTTGTTTATGTATTTTTTAATTTTTCATGGTGTTGAGGGATGATGGTGGTAGGGAGAAAAAAATAGATTGATGTTATGTGAACAAAGTTAAAAATAAAAATAATTTTTTAAAATTATCTGCCCCCTCCCCCATAAAAAATGGGGCCCAGAAGTGGGGCCACACAGTCCTTCAGGTGTGATCTGATCAGGGCAGAGGCCAGCAGACCATCCCCTCCCTAGCTGCAGAAGCTGCCATTCTTAATGCAGGCCAAGATGGCCCACGCTTTCTTGGCTGGCCTGTCATCCTATGGGAAGGGAGTGGAGATCAAGAGGCGGGTGGGGTAGGAGTGGGGAGAAGAGAGGTAGGAGGAGGCAGAGGGGAAAGCATGAGCATCTGCCAGGACCAGTGATCCTCAAATAACAAGATTCGACTGAACTGCTGACATCTCAAGGTCTGGATTATGTTAGTAGGACTTGGGCTTTCAGAGACCAGGCTCCCCCGGTGTCAGAATTGATCTGCAACAAGGATGCCTGGAATGCCAGTTAGTGCCTTTGCCGTTGGTTAGCAGCAGATTGACTCTAAAGCTGTCTCCCAGGGGGCTCTTCTAAGGAGAGGAAATGGCGTAAGTCATCAACTGGGACATGGCTTTCTCTTTCTCTCTTTCTTTCTTCTCCCTCCCTCTTACCCCCACCCCAGCGGAGCTGGGTGACTTTCATGAAGAAACAGACAGGAAGCATCTGGAACAAAACCACTACTTACCTAACCAGGGCGGCTTAGACAGCAAGATCCTGCGCTTTCATCAAAGACACATGTGAGTACTTTAATTAGTGCCTGCCTTCATCAGCCCCCAACTAATGGCTCAGTCCGAAACAGACTTGGAAATTACAACTGGAAAAGAGCAGCTTGGGGCTCTGCTCCAAAGCGCTTTAAAGATATTACCAACCTGTAAGGCAGGCAATGAGAGTACCATCGTCACATCCCAGCTTGATCAATGGCTGTGTGACCTGGGACAAGCCACTTCCTCTCTATGGGCCTCAGTTGAGAGGGTTAGACTAGACCAGAAGTGTCAGACAGGAGGCCTGCTGTGGTCCGCAGAACTCCAGCGGTGGTCCAAACCAGATTCAAATGCAATTGGGGAATATTTAACAAAACAAAAATATAAATAATATGACATTTTAAAACTAAGTCAATGTGTGCCCCACGGGCTCCTCATGGATGGTTTAGTGGTCCTTGTTTCTATTTGAGTTGGGACCTCACTGGCCTAGATGACCTATAGATCTCTGGTCGATGGAGACCTAGATGACCCCTTGGAACCTGAAATCTGTGACCCTCTGGTCTCTACTTTAGAGATGAGAAAATGGCAGCTCAGGAAGGGGCAGTGACTTGGGATCCTAGATCTGGAGGGGGAAGAGACCTTAGAGGTCATTGGGCCCAACTGTCCCATTTTACAAATGAGGAAAACTGAAGCCTAGAGAAAAGTGACATTCAAGGTCTTAAATCTAGTAAATGCCTAGAGCAGGTTTGGAACTTGCCCAAGGTCACATAGCAAATGGCTCTTTACCATTTACAAAGCACCTTCCTCACAGCTCCATGAGGTTAATAGGGCAGGTATTAATATTCCCGTTTTATAGGCTCGAAAACTGAGGACCAGAGAGGGCAAGGAGCCAGTTCAAGGTAATCCACATCAGAGATAGAATTCCAATTCAGGACCTCCTTATGCTAAGGCCATTGACCTCTTCACAACATGATCAGGATTCTCTGATAAATGGTGGAGCAGGACTTGGGCCTCTCTTGGGAGATAGGGAATGGCGACGGGGTCCCTCTAGCAGAGTTGGAAGGTTCATATATCTCTTTTCCTTGCAGTGGTAAGAGCCCCGCAGAATCAGACATCCAACTTCTGGACATAGCAAGGAAGCTCGAAATGTATGGGATCAGACCTCACCCCGCTAGTGATGGTGAAGGGACTCAGATTCATTTGGCTGTTGCCCACATGGGAGTGCTGGTATTACGGGTAAGGGCATTTTCCTGTGCTCTGAGAAGAGTGGTATCTCTCCTTCACACTCAGTCCCCAAATGGGCTTTGGAGCTCTGAAGGATCTGGTTTGAGAAGATCACAGGGTTTCATGGCTAGAACAGACATTTGAGATCATCTGCTTTTTCAGCACCCTTGCTTTGCAGATGAGAAAGCTGAGTCCCAGGGACAGAAAGTAACTTAGCCAGAGATGATACACAGCTTGTTGGGATTTGAACCCAGACCAACTTTGTCAAGTGCTCTTTCTACTGTACCATACTACTTCTTGGATCTCCTTGTTTTACAGATGAGGAAACTGAGGCTCAGAGAATGACTTGCCTAAGGTCCCATAATTAATAGCAGAATCAGATCCCATCTGGAGTACTGTGTTCAATTCTAGGCACTCTTATTTAAAGGCATGGATGTGAGTTGGAGTGTTCAGAGGTCAGCCAGGATGGTAAAGGGCCTTGAGTCCATGACGTAGGAAGATCAACTGAAGGACATGTTTATCCTGGAGAAGAGAAGACTCACGTGGGCCCTGGTAGCTGTCACGTCAAGGAGGGGCTAGAGAGAAGAAACTAAGGCCCTTGGTAGAAGGAGCTAAGAGACAGGTTTAGGCTAACAATGAGATCTGTTTCAAAATGGCATGGCCTGCCTTGGCAGGTGGAGGGATCCTGTTCCTTGGATGTCTTCACGTGGTCTGGATGCCCCTTCTCAGGCATGTTGGATTTGATTCCTTTCATGTAGAAGTTGGACTGGTCAGCCACTGAGCTCCCTTCCGTTCTCCACTTCTCTCACACTCACTCCCAAGTTTAGCACTCTTTCCATTAGATCCCAGCTGCCTCAAATTGACTATGGGATTATTAAAATGCTAACAGTTAGTCTTCTGACAAAGGATTCTCTTCCTCTTGGAATAGTTTCTTTTCAGGCAGAATGATATAGAGGAAAAAACACTGGGCGTGGAATTAGGAAAGACCCAGGTTCAAATCCCACCTCTGATACTAGCTATGTGATTTTGGACAAGTTACTTCAACTCTTTGGACCTCATCTGTAAAATGGGGATGATAATTTTTGTGTTGTATACCTCACAAAGGTGTTGTAAGGAATGCTTTTGGTAAAGCTGGAGATATGGGACCTATTAGTATTGATTTTTCTGCCATATTCTGGAGCAGCTCAAAACACCTTCCTCTTTAGCTTAGGTCACAGGCTCTGCTTTTGGAATCTTCCTACCATTGATCAAGCTCTTTTCTGCCCTATTAAATAGAGTATTCTGAGGTTGGTCTGATCACAGGCCATGATCCTCACCCTGACCTCTCGTCAGACAGAAAACTTCGGGCGGCCTAGAGTCAGGCTTACTTTTCAGCATAAAGCTAGATTTTATTTTCCTTTCAAAAAAAAATCCGTCTCTCTCTTGAAGAGAAGGAGAGAGGAGGGGAGCTTGTGTTCCAACCAGTGTAGTAATTTAACCTTTTCTTGCTGATTCAGTGTCATTATTATGAAAATCAGTTATTGTACTGGGTGTAAATATGGTGCTTTTGCCTCCTTCCTCCCTTTCCATCTCCAAATCTATCTGTCCAACTAGGGAGGGAAAAGAGCAATGTGCTCCACACAAGCAAACCTTTATTAATGCCAGCTACATGCAAGGCACTGAGGGCACAATGACAAAAATGACAAGAATTTCTGCCCTCAAAGTGCTTACATTCCACTGAGGTGAGAGATACGTGTTCAGGGGTAAGTATAGTATAGTGGAGGAAGTAACAGGTCCAAAGGAGAAATGCAGGCAAAAGTACTCAAGGGAAAAAAGGAGACGAGAGATTGCTTTAAGCTCAGTGGTTCAGGGAAGGACACCCCTGAGCTGGGCCTTGAAGGAAGATGGAGGAAGTACATTCTGGGCATGCCAGACTTAGGCAAGTGCACAGAGGCAGGAACTAAGAGACTGAGCTTGGGGAACAGCCCAGGAATCCATTTAGCCAGAGTTTCCCACGTGTGAAATAAGTTTGGAAAGGTGGATTAGAGGAGTCAGACTGTGGTAGACCTTACATGACAGGCTGCAAGCTTTTATTATGTCTCAAGGACTGTGCTAAGGACTGGGAACACAAAGAAGGCAAAAACCTGGTCCTTGCCCTCAAGAAGCTTATGTTATAATGGAGACAACAGGCAGATGACCATGTACATAAAGATGTATACAGTGTAAATGGAAGGCCATCTCGGAGAGAAGGCATTAACAACTGAGGGGGGAGGGACAAGAAAGGCCTCCTGAAGAAGGTGGGATTTTCCCTGTCTTGAAGGAAACTAGGGAAGCCAGGAGGCAAAGGTGAGAAGGGAGCTGCATGAGCATAGGGGGATGGCTGTTCTGGGTATACGACATGTTTCCTGACTCTGGATCTTAGAGTATGTGGAAGGGATTCGGGTGTAAAAATATTAGAAAGGTAGGAAGGGGCCAAGTTGTGAAGAAAGCCAAACAGGACTGGTTTTTGACCCTGGGGGTAGAGAGGGAGGCCTTGGAGCTTCTTGAGTAGAGGGTGTTAGTGGTCAGACTCAAGCCTTAGGAAGATCGCTTTGGCAGCTTAATGGGTGGAGTGGGAAAAGACCAATTGGAGCAGGGAGGCCAATCAGAAGGCTCCTGTAATGGGCCTGGACCAGGGGGCGGCACTGTGAATGGCTTTGTGGGAGTCAGTAGTTGGGGTTGCTGCTGCAGCCAGGAGCCTGGATTACTGGGAGGGTGGGAGTACCCTTAGCAGTGACAGGGGGTTCAGGAGAGGGCACAGTTTGGGGATAAAGGCAATGAGTTCAGTTTTGGATGTGTTCAATTTAAGATATTTAGCGGGCATCCCATTTCAAGAGCAGTCGGTGTGAGTGGAGCTCAGGAGAACAGTTAGAACTGAATATATAGCTTTAAAATTGCACTGTATAGACGTGGGAATCGTCAGCCTAGAGATGGGAGCTGACGTAGAGAGAGAAGAGCAGAAGGCCCAGGACCGAACCCTGAGAGACACCCCCTGGAGGACCATCCGGCAAAGGAGACTGAGAAGAAGCGGTCAGATGGGGAGGAGGAGAACCAGGGTCTTGAATACTCAGTGGAGAGGGGATCAAGGAAAAGAGGAGATGAACAGTGTCCAAGGCTGAAGAGAGGTCAAGAAGCATGAGGACTGAGAAGAAAAACCATTGGATTTGGCAGTTAGGAGATCATTGGTAGCTTTGGAGAATGACTTTGGAAGCCAGATTGCTGAAGGTGTAGAAGAGAGTGAGAGGAGAGAAAGTAGAGGAACTGACCACAGGTGACTTTCTCAAAAAGTTTGGCCTCAAGATGGAGGAGATGTATTGGACAAGAACTAGCAGGGATGCTCAGCTCACAGTTTTCAAAGATGAGGGAGATGGGAGTGTTTGTGGGCAGCAGGTAAGCAGCCAGTAGACAGGGAGAAATTGAAGCTTGGCAAATATTTCTGTGCTGGAGATGAGAAGGGTGGTGTCAAGAGCACATAGGAGGAGCAGTTAGGTGGCGCAGTGGATAGAGCACTGGCCCTGAAGTCAGGAAGACCTGAGTTCAAATCTGGCCTCAGACCAAACACTTGCCGCTTACCAGCTGTGTGACCCTGGGCAAATCACTTAACCCCAATTGCCCCCCCCCCCAAAAAAAGAGTACATAGGAGTTTAAAAAAAGGAATCAGTGATGTGAGAAGAGAAAGCTGTCTATGAGTGGCCTCATTTTTTTGGATGAAGTGTGAGGCAAAGTCCACAGCTGGGAGGGTCTGAAGGGGGCACAGTAGCTGACTTGAGGAGGGATGAAAAGGTTTGGAATAGCCACTGGTGAGTGGGAAAGTGAATTGATCAGGGAGGTAGGTGTAAAAGAGTCGCCTTGCAGCGAGGGTTCAGTTGAGATTACATAACATAAGTTCGTAATGGAGCCAGTCAACACAATCTCATGATTTTCTCTATGGAATGCTGAGAATAATCCAGGGTTAGGGTCTGGCAAGACGTGGGATAGGGGACTCAAGTTAGACTCGACAGATTCACCAAGAGATCACGATAGGGAAGGGAGGAGAGTGTAGCCAGTTCAAGGGTCATGGCCTGGGAAAGAACTGAGGGTTGAGAGGATCAATGAGGAAAAAGAGCAGGGTTGGGGTCCTAAGGCAAAGGGAGATGTAGAATGATAGAAGAGATGGTCATATAAAGGAATTTCAGAGTTTCTGAATATGGAGGTAGCATCACTGCAGATGATGGCAACGTAAAAGAGATGACCATCTGTGTTAGGCTGAGGTGGGTGGAGGACTGATGGGAATTGAGTAGACTGAGGAACCAATGGCATTTGAACAAGGATGATTAAAGGCTCTTCGTATGAAGTTACGAGTTAGAATGGAAAGACTGTGAGCCAGGCACTGAACTCATTGAGGCAAGTAAGGAGAATATCCTGGGAGTGGGTAGATAATAGACACAAGAACCTTGATTGGCTGATAAATTCAGATTGTATAAACCTTAAAAGACAGATGGCTGAGTGATACTCATAGAGGGACAGTTTGGAAGTGAATGGTGGGGTGTGGAAGTACAACTAGGCCTGGAAAGGGTGGCCAGGGATGTCATATTAACAGGAGGGAGCCAGGAAAAGGTGGAAAGCAAATTTGTTCATTTGGGAACAGCCTAGAGAACCCAGTGAAAAGTGGTAAATCTGAGTGGAACATTTGGGAGGTAGGGCCGAGGAGATAAAAATAAAAGGAGCAGGAAGTGTGGGATGGGTCACTGGGATTGTATGACAGCCAGGGGTTCAGAATCACAGGAATGGGGCTAGTATGAGTGGCCTGGGAATATCTAACCATTGAGGAATAAGTCCAGTCAATCACTGTCTAGAAAGAGGTCATCTGAGGGTGGCATATGTGATTCAAAGCCCTCCTTCAGCATAGTAGGTGGTGAGGTTGTGTGTTCTATAAGGCTCAAGAGGCCTGCCTCACAGCAAGTAGGAAGGAGCAGACAAAGGTAAGGCTTGGGAAAAGGCCAGGAGCCCAGATCTGGCTATTTCAGGTGAATCTAGAAATGATCGCCAGAGCACTGGAGAAGGCCCTGGGGCAAAGAGAACAGATTTAGAGCTGATGTTGGAAGCTAACAGGAAAGTTGAAAGCACTTTATCCTAGGGGCAATAGTGAGCCCTGAAAATTTTTGAGAAGGTGAGTGAGGTCAAAGCTGTGTCTTAGGAAGAGTATTTATTTTGGCAGGTATATGAAGGACCAACCAATCAATCAGTGTTTATTAAGTGCCTACTATGTGTTAGGGAAAAAGTATAAAGAATAAAACAATCCTCACTTTAAAGAAACTTAGATCCTAATGAGTTAAGACAAGTACATATGGAATAAGCACATGTGGAATAAATGCAAAAAAGATCTGAGGGGGAAAGACTAGACCAGAGGTTCCCAAACTTATTTGGCCTACCGCCCCCTTTTAAAAAAAATTACTCAGTACCCTGCTAGAAATCTACTTTCTTTAACCCTTTAGCAGTTTTTTTTAAATTTACATCATTTCAAAAAAATATAAAAAATATATATTTAAAATGATGCATCTTAAATTTAATAATTTATTGTAAATTTGTGGGTTTTTTCTATATTGAAATTTTGATGATGCAATATTGCATCATGTAACCATATAGTGTCATATTGTGAACAAGTCATTACACGCACATATTCCTGCCAATGCATGCTGGATTTTCTGACAATGTGTGACACTGCCAATACTTGCTTGTTAAGATCTGTTGGTGGACTTGACCACTGATCAGTTATAACTTGCATTTTGTGTGTTTATTTGGAAAATGATGTAATAACTGCAACTTTAACTGTTACATAACAGATGAAACATGTATGAATGTTTTTTCAAATTTGTCTTTGCTTTTCTTCTTTCTTTATGCTTCCACCGCGCCACCCCCCCAATTGCCCCTGAGGCTACTACCATCCCCCTGGATCATTCCAGTACCGCCCAGGGGACGACATTGCCCACTTTGGGAACCTCTGGACTAGACCAATTAAGAGCCTGTTACAATAATAATAATCTAGCTGTGGGTAGGTGTGTTGACACATATCTATAGCTCTTCAATATATTTCATTCTAGGGGAATACAAAGATCAATACTTTCAACTGGGCTAAAATCCGTAAGCTGAGTTTTAAGAGAAAGCATTTTCTTATCAAACTCCATGCGAGCATTTCGGTAAGTCTTCTAATTGTGGTCATTTGGTTTTTGTTCCCTTGGGGAGTCGAGTATGCTTTTACAAATACCCAGCGCACATGGTTGGAACAGTAACTGCTAACGTTGGCAGGCCCCTTGCTTATAAATCCATCCCCGCCCCCCTCCTCATTGACTTCTAAGGTGTAATGAACCTGTGAATGCAAATTCTCATGGTCAGAACCAAAGCTCTAGTGGTGATTTTCCTGTGGGGAAATTCCAAAGCAGGTGGGCCCACATTCCATTGTGTTCATCTAAAGAAATACTAACAGCTCACATTTTAGTAACTTAACAAGTGCTTTCCACAGGACAACTTTGTGAGACAGTCAGTGAGGTTGCAGATGGCCCAGGGATAAATGTACCCTAGGGGAAGTCGGATCAACTTGGAAAATGAGTTTGTCATTTTTACATCCCAGTCACTCCAGGACACCCCCACCTCCAGTGAGCCCAGTCCTGTGGTTGTTGTCTGCTTTGCTTAACTATTTCATCTTCCACTGTATTCCACATTCCATACCCATAGTCCCCTACTTGTCCAAGGAAAAGAGATGCATCAGAATTTTGATTCCATCATGAGCTTTGGTATAAACTAAACAATAACACCCAGTGCCACACAGCCTTCAACACAAGGTTACCCAGGCAGTGAATTACATTCCTTTACCCTTGGTTTGAATTATTCAACTCAATGCCATCCATAAAATACTACTATGATGAATTCCTTCATTTGCATAGAACTTTCTAGTCTGCAAAGTCCTTCCAAATCTTTCCTCTCATTTGATCCTCACCACTCTGAGAGACTTAAAATGTTCAAGCCAGAAAAGACCTTTGACCCCTCATTTTACTGATGACAAAATTGAAATCCAGGGAGGGCAAGGGCCTCCCCAAGTTGCTGCAGCTAGGAAATGGAAGAGTGGGGATGCTCATGTTGCCTCCCTAGAAAGGCCACAAGCCATCTAGTTGGATACCCTCACTTTACAGGGTAAGAAACTGAGAGGGGAATTCTCAAGGACTCTGAAGCAGTGTCTTATCTGAATCATGCAGGTGTTGTACAAGGACACGCTGGAGTTTACCATGGCTAGTAGGGATGCGTGCAAAGCCTTCTGGAAGACATGTGTTGAGTACCATGCCTTTTTTAGACTCTCTGAAGAACCCAAATCAAAGCCCAAAACACTCTTCTGCAGTAAGGGCTCAAGTTTCCGCTATAGGTAATGTTTTTTAAAGTTTATTTTGGAAAAAGATAAAATCAAACCTGTTTTTAGTAACTGAGAACAAAACTGGGGACTTTGTTCTAGAAGCAAAAAAAAAAAAAAGTCAATTTCAATAACTTGGGGTTGGTTATGTATGCACTCGTATGTAGGCTGCTTTGCTGAGTTTACCCTTGGTCCACTCAGTGACAGTCTGCTCCTCTGGCCTTCAGAATGGCTGGGACATAAAATCAAGTCAGCTACTGATGCTGTGAAGGGTATAGAGATTGTTAGCTGGAGAGTGTGTGTCTTTTGTGTCCACCGCTAAGTCCAGCTGCCTCATTCGGGATTAGAGGAGGCACTTTGCCCAAGTTCACACAGGCCACACTCTGATTCAAACCCAGGTCCCCTCGGATGAAGTAATCCTTCCGCTAACATGTTGCCACATTTAGTCAGCATTTTCTCCAGGTCCTGTGGCCTACTTTCCCACTCTGGGTGGCCTACCTTATATCAGGTTCTTTTGGCATCTATTTAAAATGATTTTCCTTTTAACCATTTGAGGGGTGTGATCTATATACTTCGAACCAATAGGATGATTTAACATTTTCTTAATGATTGCAGGCTTTTAGTTAGAGTGAGGGACTTGACCTGCAATTCCACTGTTGTGGGAACTCTTTCTACCAAAGCAGGTCTTCTCTGCAACTTGTCTTAGCCTCAAGTACCTTTTAGCTTCATTGGTTTACTGTTTCTTGTGAGACATTCCATGCTTGCCCCCACACTCTGGAATTTGCTCCCACCTCACCTCTACCTCCAGTCTCAGAATACTGGCCGTTTCCCAGCCTCTCCCCCCAAATACTTGGATTTTTCCTTCAATAGGAACAGTGAGTGTAGGCCCTAATGTTTAAAAGTTTACTGTATTTAAACTAAGATATTAATGAAGAAAAATGTGTTGTTGTTGTTTTTTTATTTAACACAAATCTGTCTTCATTTTATTAGTGGAAGAACCCAAAGGCAACTTCTGGAATATGGGAAAAAAGGTAGGCTGAAGAGCTTACCCTTTGAGAGGTAGGTATAGAATATCTTTGAGCTGAATTGAGATTTTTCTGCACTTTTGTGGTCACAAGTCCGTGACTCCTGTGTTTGGGGATTTCAGGAAACATTACCCGCCTCAATACCACGAGCGACAGTGTAGGTCGTCCCCGGACCTCCTCTCCGATGTGGCCAAGCAGGTAACATTTCTATTGCAATGTGTCCCATGCCTACCATTTCAGCAGTTCCTGGGAATCTGCCAGCTTCTTTCAAGGCTCTTCACTTCATGGGAGCAAACATAGAGATGTGTAATGGCACATTTAGCTCTCGCAAGCCAAGGGGGCATTTAGGAAGGGACTAGTGCCATTTGGGCAGGTGAAGAACCAGCAAACAGCCGGGCGGCCAAGGTGAGTTGAGTCCTCCAAAAATGTACAAAGTGACAGTCTCTAGAGTTAAAGATTGACTATTTTTCCTTATAGAATGTTAAGGTCTACCAGGAATAAAAGATCTTGAAGCATTTTTGTTTTATGGCTTTGAAACTCAATTTCAGAGAAGACATTTGCTGTTCCCTTGATACACAGGGATTTGCTTTGAGTTGAGCTTAGTGATATTTATTATCCTCCTCCCCCCACCCCCAAGATTTAGCAGCCCATATTCATTCATTATGTGGTCCATAAACTTATGTATCTTCATGTAAATCAAAGGCGGTCTGCACACAAATGAGAGTTTGAGAGATGAAAGAGACCTTGGAGATAATCTAGTCTAATTCGTGCTCTCCCCCCCTCCCCCTTACTTGCAAGGCAGATGAGAAAACTGAGGCCAAGAGAGGGAATGTGAATCACTCAAGGTCATGTAGTAAGTTGGTGGCAGAGCCTCCCAGGCCAGTGGGATAGAAGACAGAGATGAACTGCAGCTGGCCACGGCCATTTCACATTCCTGAGCTGGGCCATCACTTGGTTTTGATCTTTTCTGTACAAATGATTCAATGTACTAACAAAATCTGGGCTGCTGAGACTCCCCACAGCTGTGCTTTTTTGAATCACTCATCCCTCTGCAAACTTTGCCCCACTCCAAGCTGCCTGTCTTTTCTCCCCAAGGTTGAAGATTTGCATCTCGTGTATGGCGGTGGGTGTTACCGCAGTGTGAATGGAGTGCATGCATCAGAACCCACGCTGGACAGCAGGAGGAGGAATTCCACAGTGGAGGTGACGTTCGCAGCTGAGTTTGAGCGCTCCAAACCGGAAGCCGACCCAACACTTCTGCATCAGTCCCAAAGCAGCTCAACTTTCCCCTTCCTTTACACCAAACCTGACTTCAACGCTGACCCTGAGCCTGATGATTTCTATAGGCCGAAGAGCCCTCTCAACTCCTTCCAGACAAGCTCAGAGTTTGCCAAAGGTAACACAAGCGTATCTGGGAACACAAGAGGGGTTGTCCCCCCAAGGCAGCAGCTAACCTACACTGATCTACCTTATATTCCCAATGTTAGCCAGCAGGTTGACATTGTACCTCCACAAGTCTTTTTTTATGTGGACCAGCCACCCCAGGTGCCCAGGCGCTCTCCAGCCATGGCCACTTTAGGGAAGGCAGCCAAAAGAAGCCCTCATGATGCCAGGAGGGAGCCCTTTCAGCATGACTTTCAGGAACTGGAAGAAGCCCTAGCCAGGACTAGCAGCGGGGACAGCCCCAACAGGGGTGTGGAAGATGATGACAGAACTCTGGAAGATGCCTTTGAGTACAGGGTTCAGGAGCACACCCCTAAACGGTCCCACAGCCACTCAGACATGAAAACCATCCGCTTTCCTTTTGGGTCAGAGTTCCAACCCCTGGGGCCTTGCCCTGCTCTAAGCCGAAAAGCTGATTTCTTCACGTACATGCTTGCCCAGCAGGAGTTTCCAGAGGTCTTGCAGAGTCGGAGTACAGCTGACCAGTATTCAGGTAGTGAACCCAGTGATTCAGAACCAGAGATGCCTCACCCAGATTACTACGCTCTGTGTGACAAAACAGTGAGATTACCCATGACCAGAATCCGTTTGTCTTCTGCTAGTCTCCAACTAGATGAAGCAGAAGAGGAGGCGTCTTTTACTACACCTGCTGCTCACTCCGGCAGGACCACTCTGAAACCACGCAATTATTTTTTAGCGTAAGTGATAGACCAAGTTTTACAAATACTTTTCTTTCTGCAAAATATTTTCGACCCTCATCCTCCTTGCAAAGCACCCTAGGTCCCCAGTGGAGCTACTACTCCTGCCCCTCCCTCCCTCCGCTGTGGTTGGGGGAGGGCGAAAGGGATTTTGAAGTTAGTGGAGGGGTACATGTGGCCTACATCCCCAGCTATAACCTGAAACGTCTTTTTCACTAGAATATATTGCTTTAAATGGAGGTTAAGTTATATAGTGTTGTTAGCACCATTATTCTACCTTAGGGTTAATAATTGACTGCCACGGGTGAACAATTAGGTGGCATCCTTGAGAGGTACATGTTGACTTTGGTGGTTGGCCAATACCGGCAGCATCAGGACAAGTCTCTCTCTCTCCTCAAGACTCCCATCGCCACCCTTCTCTTCCTGTAGACACTGTCTGTTCCTCCACATCTCCTGTGCCAGTGAAGTATCTTGGTGTATCTTTCTTGGTTCCCATTACAATAAGCACACTGTGTGTTTATCACATCTTACGATGCCTTGATCTTTCTTAAGTTAACTTGTAACCCCTCTGTTGTCATCTTTATTTCTCCATGTAAAGCCCAATATAAGAAACAAGACTATGTGCTCTGCCATTCAGAGTGGTTTCAGTTTGCCAGCCAGAGACTCCAAGGAGAGACAGGTAACCATTTCCCCCCACAAACATGAACAGTACTAGTCACGGAAGTTTACAGAATTAAAATATTTATTTTTGTAACCTCCCCAACAGGGTGAACATACGCTTTAAATAGTTAGACTTCATTAACTACACTGATAATGCACATTACTATTTGAACTTTGTAAAGCTTCAGATAACTGTGTTTATGACGTGTTGCTTATACAAAAATATTTTAATCCAGAACACTCTTGTTTTTTCAAAAATGACCTCCAGACTTTTATAGATATAAATTGTAAGTAATTGAGTTTCAGTTACACAGCAGGTGAAAATTTCAACAGAACCATTTCTTTAACACGAAAACAAGGAATGAAAAAAAGTAAATTTTTTTACACTGTAGGCACCATTGAAAAGAACTTATCCTTGGTATACAGAAGAACACTGCACTTTCTGACTCTCCAGATCATGTCTGCCTACAACTTCCTTTTTCTCATATTTGGCAGATAGAATATGCAGGTTCTTTACAAGACTTTTGTGCAAAAACAAGATTGTGCAGATCCAAATGATACAATAAACACAGAACCTTTATAAAAAATAAATGTACATCAACAATCCCACGAGTACTGAATTTCAGCATAATATACATACTGGATCCATAAGTACCATAAATAGAATGAAAAAGCAATCGTATCATCTTACCTACTTTTTATGAGGGAAAAAATATTACTCTACTCCACTGTAGACTACATTTGGGAAAGAATACCTCTAACTCAGTTATCTGCATACTAACAGGAAATACATATTCAAAATACCCTTTCGGAAATGAACAAATGATGCTTATGGACATACTAGGAAAACAAACATTTCACAAGCCAACTTAACCCCCATACACACACACACACACACACAAATACACACAAATGCTGGTGGGATTTCTGCTCATACCCCCTGCTGCTGCAGAGGAGGAGGTATTAGTTATGTGATGTTCAGCCTCTTCAAGCTCCCCCAAACCCTAGCATAGTGAACTCAACAAGGTCGACCAGCCTACAATTTGAACATTATTGCCAAAAGCCTTCCCTAGCTAACTGTATTGCTCTAAGTTTCTAACCATGGTAAGACTTAACTATGACTTGAAAAAAGCCTGTTCTACAAAAGGCGATGTTGATGTCGCTACATAGATCAGCTGCAAACTACTTCACTAGATTATTGCTCTCAAATGGAGGGAATCATGGAATAGTTGTTTGTCCTGGTCCAAAAGCAGAATCGGTAGTGCACACTCTCACGCTTTGACTTTCCTGGTGCTCTAAACTCTTGTTTGATGCAGGTGAGTACTACCTGGAGCAGTCTCCCTGCCAAGACAGTTAAAATGGTTGTTTCTGGGGGGCGGGGAGGAGAGAGAAAAGAGCTGGTTTTGAAGCTTCTTGAGGATGACTGACAAAAGTTGCACTTATGATTGCTGTGACAGACCTGTATGTTTCAGCAGTGTACAGTTAACCAAAGAGCAAAAAACATGCTAACTTGTGCATCCTATTAAAAATAATTATGATGCCTAAAAGCCAAACTAGAGCTCAACATTTACCAGAATAAACATAGATGAGACTATGATATTAAAACTTCTTTACAAAATCATCTCCTGAAAATATAAAACCATATACGCCCTCACAAAATAGTTGAGTAGGTTCTTCCAAATCCTTCACCATCAGTATGCTGCGAAGATCCAAAAGGCACATGGGGGCTCATGAGCTAAGTAAGCACTGCCAAGCTTGAAGTCATCTGGGTGGATTGCAATGGAGCTGGATGTAACTGAAGTCAATAATGGGAAGTTTCTTAGGATGAGTCATTAACGGAAAACCTATAAATTAAAAAAAAAAACAGGATCAAAAAATTCTAATCTGTATTACCAATTAACTGATTCAACAAACTGCTGAAACTCTTTTTTAATCTCATGGGTGGCAGAAATCAATGTTCAAGTAACTTATTTGCAAATTGTCAAGGGGGGAAAATGGTTTTCCATGTTTTCTTGATAAAACTGGAATCTGATACTCCAAGTGGGGGGGGGGAGAAGAGATTTTAAAATTGCTTGTATCATAACTTTTTATGAAATAAAAAGTTTAAATGCTCCTTCTATTTTTCACCTGGAAAATATTATAGCTATGAGGCAACTGTCTAGAGCTTTGTCCCCTCCTTTCATGTATTGTGAATTCACAGGATATAAGCAGTCACAACACCATTTCTATGGAAGGCAGTGCTAGCTAGCTATCTTCAGGCCAAATTGTAACAGTCTCAATCTCAATTCATACCCCCTGTTCCTGATTAGAGCTTCAGTTCTGGAGACAGTCACAATGTTTCTAAAATGCTAGCTAAAAATAATTTCCTGGTTGGGGAAGAAATTGTGACTGTATCTTTGTGACCAATAAGTCTAATGTTAACAATGCACAAAGCTCACACTTAAGATGGGAAGCCAAGGAAACAAACTGGAGAGAGAAGACAAGGAGCTTCTCAAGAATGACTTGAAGGCAATGCCGAGATGGCCAAGCCTAGAAGATTTACCCCACCAACATGAGTGAAGCAGGAAAGGGATGACCCAGAAAACTTACTTCTGAAACTTCTCAATTAATTTCTTCACCATCTTATCGGTAATTCCTGGACAGGCAGTTTCTGCCACTGTCATACTTTTCTCAAGCTCTTCAATTGCTTTTGTTCTGCTCGCATTACTTGTGTCTTGCTCTTTCAACTAAAGCAGAGACCAATGATGCTATCAGATTTAAAAACAGTCTTGAAAAGACAGAGCACCAGAGATAATGGAACAGTACTTACTTCAGCAAATACAGGTGTGATTATTGTAGACAAGCAGCTCAGTGTTTTGGCAAGGTCTTGTTCCTTTAACATAAGCAAAACAGACAAAACACAACAGGCAAAAGAATCATTTGTTTAAGGATTTTATCTTATTGCCACTTCCCTAAACCCTCCTCTGCCTGGGGTAGTAAGATCTCTCATTTTGAGGCTCCTGATGCACCCACATTCCCAGAAACCATCCTCCCCAAACTGAGCCCACAAGCCCTCAAAAACTGCAGCGCACCACGTGCTGCCACTGAGCTCAAACAACTTGTGGTCATCATAATTGAAAGACCATCTACATACTGTTCCATTCTGTAGTTTCTTTGCATCAGGTTTCTTCCTAACAGTAGTAAAGGTCCATTCAGGATGAGAATTATTTTCCTTGTTGCTGCATTCCCTATGAGAAAAAAAACCTCACCAATTAGTTTTTTTCTTGTCAAGAAGCACACTTTCTCCAATAACTGTCAGTAAACAATGCTAGTGAAATAAGATTCCAGATAGATCTCATTTTACCAAATCTTCAGTGCACCCCCAAAGTACCCAGTGAAATTCCAACTAACCAGGTCTATATGGAACTACCTTCGGAATCCTTTAAAAAGTTGAGAATAACACAATGGTTGCAGGAATCAGAGATTTAGATAAAGGAATTTCAATGGCTTTTGTGCCCCTTCTGCCAAGGAAAAAAAAAAAAGGTTGTTTTGGTGTAGCTAAACACAGACTGTTCTAAAAGTAATTTAGAAATTTAATGAAAATAATCCTGAATTGATCATGTCTGGTCAAGTGACATGGTTTATATAAACATATAAACTTAGCATATGTATTGCTATATACAGAAATGTCTGCTTTGCAAAACTTAAAAGTGGGGTTCAGGTAACTTTCTAGGGGCTGATTCTGAGATGACCTAGAGATCTCCTCCCATTTGTTTGCATAACAAAGACAAGGGGACACAAGGAGAGATTCAGTTAAATAAACAAATGGCCCAACTGTCATTGTGTCCCACATCTGTTTCTGATTTGAGAAGGCTTTCCGAGTGATCCAGCAAATGGCCCCCACTCCCAGACTGCAGCCACCCTTACGAGTCAGAGCCATCAGAATCCGATTCGTCGTCACTGTGTCCTTCAGCTTTCCACCTCTTGAACCGATCGATCAGTTCTGTCAGGTATGACGTCTTCTTGGCATTTTTAATAATGAATTTGTGCTTCAGCAGTTCTTTAGCTGTCGGACGCTAAGTCAAAAATAAAGGATGCATGAATATGTATATCTTTGTATTATTGATAACGCTTTGAATGATTAAGCTGAAAAGCATGTGTTTCTGGAAGCAGATGACTAACAGTTTTGCAGCACAGAAGCTACCACTACATTTGAAGGAGTTCAGGCTAGATGAGGAAGGAAGCTTACTAGTTTAGTACCAATTTGAAATGTTGGCTTTTGCACATACAAAGATCACTTTACTAGCGAGCCCACCTGCAAAGTGGCAAAGAAAAGCTTGGTTCAGGAGTTTAAAAACAAAATTTCATTTAAAAGACATTTTTGAGTTGAGATATACAGTAAGTTCAAAGTACTCAGTTAAAAAACATACACCTTTATCAAGTAGGCTTTGAGCTTTAAAACAATAAAATGATGAAAAGGATAATTCTATGGACTTAAAAGAATGGGGAGTATTAGCTTAATTGTTCATAGAACTAGTGATCTCAAAACATAACTGGCATTTTATCAATATGAGTAAGTAACATGTTCAAATTTCAAGCAGCATACCCAGGCTTGGGTACCCAGAGTAGCTGACATGTAAGGCCAGCTTCTTTCTACAAGTCAGCAGCAGACACCTTTGTTTTAAAAACAACTGTAATCAAGTTGTGTTGCCCAAACTCAGTTACATTTTACTTAGGACTTCTTGATGCCAGGAAAAAGAAATACATTCTCAAAACCACCAGTGGACACCATTCAGGGGGTGCAGAGGAGATCACTCCCTAGCTCCAGTTCAAATCCCACCTGACAATACCCACATGGTCTTAGGGCAAGCCATCTCCTCCCCCCCATAGGGATTAGACTAGATGGTCTGAGGTCCATCCTAGTCATATATAGAAATGGCATTAAACCCCAAATCATGCTTTCCTTTTCCTTAGGATGAAAACTGAGCTGACTAAACTCCTTCCTTATATAAGGAAGAATTGTACTTTATGTGATAGCATCACATAAGATGTACTTTTTTTCCCCAAGCTTCCCCTGTCCTGGAAGGAGAAACTGTCAGTATATAATAGGGGAAGCTGAGAACCAAGGGCAGAGAAAAGAAACACAGGACTGGACTAAGCTGAACCAGAGCTAAGAGAGGCAAGTAGGAAAATACTGGACAATTTCAGCGTTTACAGAGGAGGCAACATTTCGTACATGTATATCCTTTGCCATTCTGAACTTAAGTAAATTTTTAAAAAAGCAATGAGTAGATACTCACAAATGATGGATCCTTGTTCAAACATGCATCAGTAAACTCTTTAAAGGGCTTAGTAAAATCTCCCAATAGAGTTGGTGGATTATTTTTTGGAATCAGGAAAAGAACTCTCATGGGATGCATGTCAGAGTTAGGTGGTTCTCCTTTGGCTAATTCAATAGCAGTAATTCCTAAGGACCATATGTCAGCCTGAAGTGAGAAGAAAAAGAAATATTATAACAAATGCATAAAAAGCAACAGTTTCTTGCACCTCTAAAATGAGTACATCCTGAACTTTGGGAATCATTTTATGTGAATACCATACATCGCTTCTTTCTTCTACCTCTTTTTTCTTTTTTCTTTTTTTAAGGTTGAAATGCTTAAATGGCAACCATAATTTCACATTTATATACTCTGGGGCCCTGTTCTACTCATTGGTAACTCCCTCCCCTTTTACCATTTTAGGAAGGACTCTAGCAATATTTCACCTCAATTCCCTCTAGAATCCTCTTCCTTCTCTCCACACTGTCTCACTCCCCTTCCAGCATTTCTAGCAATTGTCTTTTCCTTAAGACAGGGACCAACCATCTTGCTTGCTGTATTTGTATCTCCAGTGCTTAGCACAGTGCCTGCCACTTCTTATCTATCAATTACAAAGTGACTTTCTTAGGCCGTTCAGAGTTAAAATTTATCAAATTTGGAAAAAAGTACAACTACTCAAGCCCTAGGTGGGCAAGTGCTTTTATCTCATGGAAGGAAACAAATTTTAAACTGTGGGTTGTGAGCCCATATGGGGTCACAAAAAATTTGGCAACAGTAAAAGGTTTCTGAATGTGCAACAACCAAAAATGAATTAAAAATCAAAGGCGTAATGAATGTGAGGTGTTTCTGGCAGCACTTGTCCATGTTGCATCTCTCAACTTCACTGCAACCTTAGTTCTGAACACAAAGCATGTGCACTTTGCATTGCACATGCCCCCAGGCCATGCCAACACCAACCCCAACTCCTGCTGAAACAGGAGTGGAAAAAGTTTAAGAAGCCTTGGTCTAGAAAAAGCTGGTAACAATGGAGGAAGAATCACCCCTGCCCTCTAGTATATCTGTTCATCTGGTATGAGGTAGGCTACAGAGAGATAAAGGCTCAGGGTAAACAGCTGATCCTTTCACCTGGAGGTGATAGTTACCAGGTAGAACTCATGCTCAGGAGAGGTACTTTCAATTCAATAAACATTTTATTCACGACCTACTACACTCTAGGCACTATGCTAGTCTCAGCTAGTCCCACTATGCTATAGTCCCAGGGGCTATAAAGACAAAAAATCAAAAACCAGTCTCGGTCCTCAAGGATCAATTATTAGTCAATAAACATTTATCAAGCACCTACAATATGCCAGGCACTGTGTTGAGCACTGGGGATACAAAGAAAAGCAAAAGACCAGGCCCCTGCACTAGAAGAGCTTATAATACAAATAACTGTACAAACATGCTATAGACAGATTAAACAGGAAATAATCAACAAAGAGGAGGCACTAGTATCAAGAGGGATTGGGAAAGGTTTCCTATAGAAGGTGGGATTTTAGATGGGACTTGAAGGAAGCAGAATGTTCTAAGAATGAAATGTGAAAATGAAAATGTCTAGATTTGGGAGATGGACTGTCCTGTTCAAAGAACTTAGTAAGGAGGCCATTGTTACTGGATTTAAAGGAGGAGGGAAGGGATAATGTGCAAGAAAACTAGAAGAGGGGGGCAGATTATGAAGGGCCTTGAATGCCAAATAATTTTATATTTGATCCTGGAGGTAAAATTGAGAGCCACTGGAGTATACTGAGTAGGGGGAATGACAATTAGACCTGTGCTTTAAGGGATCACTTTGAAAGCTGAGTGGAAGATTGACTGGAATGGGAGAGACTTGAGGCAGGCAGCTCCACCAGCAGGCTACTGCAATAGTCCAGGTATGAAGTGATGAGGGCATACATCATGGTGGTGGCAGTATTAGAGAAAAGGGGAATGTATGCATATTGTTTCAGAACTTTTTCAGGCCTCCAAATGAACATTCAATATTTGCAAGGTGAATTTCTACTTAGGAACCAGTATATAGTAGAGTTTAGAAGCCAGGTTCCAAGTTCAGTAAGGTACCACCCCAACCTGCCTTCTTCAAATAATAACAGGCAGCCACTCTGAGTGCCACAGTGGTTCTCGGCTCCAGAACCAAAAAACTGCTTCTGGTGCCTTGGATGAAAGCTCAATGAAGGAATTATAACAAGACCTAAAGAAGAGTTTCCCAGGAAAAAGTTTGGAAGGATCACTCATACCAATGAGACTGAGGATACATCCAAATATATCCACTTACAACTAAAATCACAACTGAAACACTTTACCCTGGTAATGTCTTACTTTTGAGTCATAAGCTGACTGCTGAATAACTTCAGGAGCCATCCAGAATGGGGTTCCTACAAAGGTATTCCTTTTAATCTGTGTATCTGTCAACTGGCCAGCAACTCCAAAGTCTGCAAGCTTAACATCTCCTTGCTCTGACAACAAGACGTTGGCAGCTGGAAAATGTAAAACTCCCATTAGTTACCTTCCTCAGAAGACATCAATTTTTATCAAGTTCATACTGAAGTTTTGCACACCTTTTATGTCCCTGTGAATTTTCTTTTCTGAGTGCAGGTAGTCTAGACCTTTCAAAATTTCCTTTAGCATGGTAGCTATCTGGAACTCATCAAATGGACCAGCTCGAAGCTTAGGGGGCAAAAACACGCATACGCACACACACAATACACAAAGGTTTGGGGAAGAAAAAAGGTTAAATTAATGTTTGAGTTATCTTTGAAATAAAGGAAATTACATAAAAGCTGTTTCACAATGTTAAAAGACCAATGTTTAAGAAACATGACTGAAACTTTTTAAAAAAGGAATTTCAATAGGGTGAGTAAGCCAAAATAGGTCTTAAAATAAGAAATTTAGCCTTGAAAGTATGAGAGCACTTACCAGACCAGCTGTTCCACTAGAGTTGGAAGTAACTGACTTACATACATGCTTCAATAACGAAGGAGACTTTTTCATATGGGGGAACAAGCGGGGGGAACAAGATTAGCTACCTACATGTTGGTGTTTTGAAATAAAACAGTATTTATATTGAACATGCTTTAAAATCTTGCAGCAAACCAATTTCAAAACTTATGACCATTTAGCTCATGAGATCAACTGTAGTCTAACTGTTAACATTTAACTTGTTTTTTTAATACTACATGGAATAGACCAACTCATTAGGAAAAAGCAATGGATTTGGAGTTGGAGCATCTGGGTTTCTTCCTCATCTTTACAGTGAAAAGGTTAGACTAGGTGATCTCGAAGGTCCTTTCCAGCCCCGAATCATATGATTGGTCTTCCCAAATTCAAAAATTCTAACCAGGTACACAACTGAATGCTTCACAGTACAAAGTAGAAAGTTGTGTGCAATCATACAGAGTTCAGATTTTTCATAAAGATCTAACACATATCCCTCCCTCTTTCCCCATCCCTTGTACCAAAGCCAATTGCCTTGACAGGAATACAAGGAAAGCAATCATTAGGTTTCAGGAGAATTTGTAATGGAATATCTGAAAATCTCTTTTCAATGAAGTTATTTTAAAATTCTGGTACCTCATAAAGCACCAACAGTGAAGTGTACAATCTTATTACAGGAAAGGGTGGGAATGTCAAGGCAGTGCTGGGGTGGAGCTCTGTTTGCTGTGGGGAGGGCAGAGGTGGTTAAAAAAACCAAGCCCCTGACCACACGAAGGGAGTCACGGCTCTCTGGCACCTTGTGTACTTCATCTGAAATGAATGCCACATTTATAGTCAATAAAGAGCACTTCTATGTTAAAACTCAAATCACTTAAAATAGAACCCATGCTTCAGCTTTACTGTTTAATATTAACTGTAGTCTGTGGACACAATATGCTCTAGAGACTTCTGGAGTTCAATAGATCTCTCTCCAAATTTATCCATTTTCTTTCAAAACTATCAAATTTTAGAAAAGAAAGTTCCTATTTTAATATTCTAAGTCATCTGGGAAGGTGAAAAATTCACATTTTAATAATTGCTGGCACTGAAATGTCCTCATGCCATATTCGAGTCTAGTTCTTGGCTTATTAAGAGGGCAGACATTGGCACGGGTGGACATTAAGGAGCTGAGCACGTACTTCTCCAGGTATTTGTTAATTGGTGGAAGCCAGTCAGTATACTGTCTTAGTAGCTATCACTTGGGGGAATTCACACAGAGCTAGCTAAAAGCCTGAATGAGCCAATGCGCTCTCTCTATACAGTATTTGAAAAAGGATGGTCTTGAAAGCCCTGTAAGTTCAAAGACTGTATCTAGAATCAATTTGAGAACAAGGTATAAAACATAAGTTAACTAGGGTACTCATGGGAGCTCAGCTCTGGGTAAGTGACAACCAGAAAAAAAAAAAATCTTTGCTTCAACCTCTGTGGGTTAGTTACACAAATTTCCTCCTCATTGAACACAAATGAATCATTCTTCGAAGATTAAGGACCCTGTATCTATCTCAGGCTATGCTGCCTTGCTGACTCGGGGACAAAAGAGTAGCTGGATTCTCCTGTACGCCTTAGGCTCATTTCATGGCCTTCCTGTTCTCTGGGACAACACTGCTCCTACCATGCTCACTTGCAGTACGGCATGTTAAGAGTTCACCTATGTATGTAACTAATCTCCATTAGAGAAGAGAGAGATCTTGGCCTATCTATTGGTAACACTGATGAGCCAAGTTACAAGTATCTAAATGCATCCGCTGGCTTCAAACTGACCTTGGTTCTTAGACTCTAGAGGTCATCTAGTTTGACCCCTTCATTTTACAGAAGAAGAAACTCAGGTCCAGAAAAGAAGTGACTTACCCAAGGTCATACAAGTACTATGGATGAGAGCTTAGATTCAAGCCTAGAGTCTTCTAACTCCAAATCCTATGCTCCTCGCACAGCATTATGAGTTAAGTCCTTCACACTGGTTTTTACTCTTCCACTCAGCAGATTCCTTCTTTAGCCTTGTCACTGTCCTTCATTATTTCCCCTACTTCTACTCCAGGCCTCTCTTTTAGCCTCCTCGAGGCTGCAGAAACAGAATTCTTCTTGGCTGTGGATGCCAGGTCTAGCCAATTTCCTACCAGGCTAGAACTACTTACCTCTCATAAGATCCAGCAACTTCACCAGTGTCCTCTAGGCTCTGCCCCCAGGAACCACCTGCCTAGTATCCTCCTCAGTTCTGGATACTCAGCCTCTGATTCAAACTCTTTGAGCTGAGCCTCCCTTCTTGGGCAGCCCATTCTGAGTTCTCTTTTTCCCTTCTGTCCTGTCCTTGTTTTAAATGCTTTTCTGTAGGCTGATAATACTAGCCTTACCCCCTCTCACAGTCCTTTGCACTGACCATTTCTCCTAAAGTCCCTCTAAGTGGTTCTCATCATAGTCTATATTATTACCTCATTTGATCCTCATAAATAACCTGGGAAGAAGAATTTCAAATATCATTCCCATTTTATAGATGAAGTAACTGGGACTTCTACAGGGTCTGCAAATTGGGTTGAAGCCCAGTGTTCTTTCTACCTACATACCATGTCTGCAAAGGCTTTTGATCCTCTTTTGTGTCAGACTACTTAATATGAACAAGAATCATCCAGACTCCTAGACAAATGGAGGGAGGGTGCCCAAGGGAGTCAGTTACTATCGAGGGACACAGGCTATAGATTGCTGGGAAGTTAGCCAATGATCCTGATGCTTAAGTAGAAAATATACTCAAATGACATTTGGAGATGACATAAACTTCCAGGGTGGGAGGGGGGAAGAGATGGCCAGCTCCTTGAAAGACGGGGTTAGAATTCAAGATGACCTGGTCAAATTGAAAATGCACCCTCAAATACAAAATTGATAAGGAGTATGTAAAGACAGTTGTGGGAAAAATATCAATGAGAAGAGATTAAAGGAGATGAGAGGTAGCCTTCTCCTCTCCCAAGTAAATTAAGGGTGACTTCAAATAGACTTCAATGGCTCTGTTATCTCCTCGATGTGGGTATGCTTTCGTCAATGATGCAAACTGCATCCTATCTATGCCTGCTCAGCCTGTGCAATCCTTGTCCATATCCCCTTCAAAAATATAAAGGGTTGTTTTATAACGGACAAATACCCAGCTTGTCTTTCCACAAAGAAGAGGAAGAAGAGAACTCAAGCTTAAGAATAAAGTACTTAAATGAAATATAAGCAATAATTAATTAACCTTGAAGTTTAATACTGAGGTAAATTATTAATAAGCAATAACTCATTAATATAATAGTGCTTCAAGTGTGCCAAATGTTTTCCCCATCACACCAACCCTGTGGGTACATTAAGCATAATTTTATAGATGAGGAAACCCAGTGGGTAAGTACTTGAAGAGGAATTCAAACCCTAATCCCTAGACTCCAAATCCAGTGCTCTATCCGTGATCGAGCAGGTTGCCACTGTAGGACTAGTTTGGGGAAGATAATCCCCTGGAGTTCTTCATGCACAATGAAGAGGTTCAAGGATCACTTTTCAGAGGTGTTTCAGGTGTGACTCTAAACTGAAGGTAAGGGGAATTTGCTCAAGGTCCTTTCCATTCCTGGGATGTGAATGTTGCCCATTTGACATACACAAGAAGTCACAGTGGCTTCTCTGGAATTTAAACAACTTTATACTAGCAATATTCAATTATACTTAAAAATAAGAATGAAAATATTATTTGACAATCTTTTGAATCAAAATTGTTCGTGACAAACATTTCAATGAAATTCAAAGAGAACAGGAAGGGATCTCACAGATCATATAGAGTAGACCAATGCATTTTCCAGATGAGCACATCTGGATGGAGATAAGGACAACCTCAAAGGGGATGCACGATGTAGAGCCTAGACTAGACCTGGCAGCTCCAGAATTCTAGTCTAGCCTTCCTTCCACTACAGCCCCCAACTTGTACTTTACAAAAGGTCATTTTAAGAGAATTTGTATGGATGTCTGGTTCTCAGGTACTGATAGCAATTTGTATTTGCTGTGATCTTTATAGTGGTCAGCATTTGTTCATTTAAATCTGAAGAAAAAGTGAAACAGGAATTAACCAACTTAAAGCAATAGTCTTACCCACTTTATCACATTAATTAAAATGTAAATCATCACATGAAGAGAGCATTTTACCACCTCATTTAAATGATTATCTAATTCTTGGTTCAAGCTGTTACAGCTGAGACAACAGAGTGCTCAAAGACAGACTTAAAAAGAGAATGGAGACCCATGCAAGAAGGAAATTGACTCTTAGAACATAAAATGTACTTTACATATGCATAAGATCAAAGGATGATGGCTAGGCATCAAAAAAGCTCAAATAATTTTCACTGTCTACCTGGGGATATAAGGAACTACATGACAATCAAGGAATTTCATAGATGTTGTAATTCACCTAGTCCAACTGCTACCCAAACTGAATTCTCTCTACATCCCTGAGAAGCAGTTCTCTAGCCTCTGGCCCAGCATCTCCAGTTCACCAGGGATGGGGAATTTCCCAGCCCAGGATCCAGAACAGAGGCTGTCACAGGACCAAATTTTAGAGTCTACGTCCTCTCTCCCAGAGTCATTTAAAAGATCTGGAGCTGACCTGTGTCCTAAAGCATTATTTCCTCACTTCCATAGGGTGTGAATAAAGGAGCTAAAGCCACTTCCCCTCTTCCAGAAAAATGGGAAAAGGAGTATCAAACTGAAAAAAGGATCAGAGTAAACCAAAAGAAACCTGAGCCTATGCAAACAGTTATTGTTACTTTAAGTGACCTGCAGCTATAAACAACATCAAAGGCTTTTCAACACCCCCAGAAAAAGGAGTCAGAGGACAAGTAACACTTGAAATTTATGGGAAGAACTTGTACTTAGGGCTTTATATTTGACATCTTTCTGCATGGCCTTTTTAAAAAGCACACAAATGATAGTAGAGTCAGAGTAGAAGCCAGTCTATTCATTTTATTAAGGAGGAAACGAGGGTAAATGACTTGTTCCAGGTCTCACAGCTAGTCAGTGACCAAGCTAAGACTAGAACCCAGGTCCACTGTTTTTTCAATGACAACTTGCTAACCCTAAAATGAGTGTTTCATTAATTTCCCACCTGTTCACATACTAATTCTCTGTTACTTGCCAGTTGACAGCCTAGCTGGTTGGTCTACAGACTCAGATACTGCCACAGGCACTACCACTCACCAACCCTGGCAACTGCTTGAATTGTGGGCACTGTGCCTAAAAGGAAAGACACATCAGCCTGGCTGGCCTTGCCAACCCAAATCCGAAGTGGCAGCAAATGCCACATGCCAAACTCTTTCAGGTTTAAAATGTCAAGCACTTGCTAATTTTAGCCTGGTGGCCAACATGTGGACCTTCTGCCATGCAGCCTTCTCCCTTACAGTAAGGGGAATGTGGCGCTAAGAGTGACTCCAGAGTTAGCTGTAACTGCCTTTCGGCCTACCCAAGAAGACGATTCACTTGTATATTACTTTATTTTGTATATAAATGTGTGTGTGTGCGTATAATATACACACATATAACACACACACACACACACACACACACAAACGATACAAGATTCAATACTGATCCTCCACCCAAGGAAGTTATTCCATGGTGACCCACAAAGTGTTTGCCAGCCCACTCCCCGAATATGTGATTTTATTAGCATAGATTAGCTGAAACTTTATTAGCCAGGTTGAGGAAGATTGCTTACTTCATTTTGTGTGTGTGTGTGTGTGTGTGTGTGTGTGTGTGTATGTATATTAAAAACACACACATATATACCCACATGTATATATGTATATATACATACACACTCACATACACATATGTGTATATATGTAGGCATGTATTTTTCCAATACTTACGAGATCCAGTGCTGATCCTCCGCCCAAGTATTCCATTATGATCCACAGCTTTGTGCCCTGTAAAGACCAAGCCAACGAATGAATATGAAATGATGTTTTTGTCTTTCAGAGGAAGGTCTGGGTCTGGGTTGTGTTTCTCACATTCCTTTGTCTGTTAGGTGCCTTTGATCCTTATTCCCCAAAATCTCCTCTTCCATCTGACTTCAGTTTTTCTATCTGTGAAGCCTTGGATTAGATTAGCTATTATTATTAGTTAGACAGATTAGCTCTAACTCTTCCAGCTCCATTTCCTCCTATCTAAGTGGTCACTTTGGTCACTTCTACATCACGTCTGAATTGTCCTCCCTATTCTGGAGCTCCCTCCGCTGGATGATCCTTCATTATGACCTACCTGCTTCTCTGAACAAGTCTTGTTGCTTTCACTCTTCCCTTGTCTGATGAAAATACATCCTTTAAACCATTACCAGGCTCACCTACCTTATGCTTAGGTCTGGCCAGGTCATTCTTCTGTTCAAAAGTCTTCAGAGAATCTCTACTGCTTGCTGGGTTAATGTTCACACTTGTCTGCCTGGCATTCAAAGCCCACTGCTATCTGCTGCCACTTGACCTTTCTAATTTTCTATTACTCACTCTTCATGTTTTACGTCAGTCCACCTACACAACTCTCTCTACAATCATGTCCTTTGCTTTCTTGTCTCTTTATGCCCGACCCCACAAACACTTTTTGAATTCCAACCCATTTCTTAAAGTCCAATCAGAAAGGCAGCCCCCAATCAAGTTTTCCTTGATTCCCCCCACTGGTGATGACCTTTTGCCCTCACTAGGCACTTTCTTTTAAACTCTGAAATTCACTCAATCTTGTGTATTATATAGAGTTCCTTGTGGCAATCTCATACCCCACTATGAGAATGCAAGCTCTATGTCATATCAAATAAGCATATGGCACTGGAAAAGCAAAGATAAAACCCCGAAAAACCAGTGCTGTCATGGAGGAGTTTATAATCCATTTTTCTAAATGTCGCATCTTCCCAATGCCACCCAAAGCTCTCTCGATACAATAATGTTCATTTTTTTAGTCATGCCCAGCTCTTCGTGACCCCATGGACCATGGCATGCCAGGCCCTTCTGTCCTCCACTATCTCCTGAAATCTGTCCAAGCTCATGTTTGTGGTTTCCATGACACCTCTAATGCTTCTCATCCTCTGCTGTCCCCTTCTCCTTTTGTCTTCAGCCTTTCCCAACATCAAGGTCTTTTCCAATGAGTCCTGTCCTCTCATTATGTGGCCAAAGTATTTAAGCTTCGGCTTCAGCATTTGATGTTCCAGTAAATAGCCTGGAATTAATTTCTTTAAGTATTGACTGCTTTGATCTCCTTGTTGTCCAAGGGACTCTCAATAATAGTAACTCCCATTATCATAAGAGACTCACATTTAAATAGTTTTACCAAACACCTTCCTCATCATAACCCTATTTGGGGGTTATCCCATCTCAGAGATGGGGAAATAGGCTTCGGGAGGTTATGGTACAGACAGACAGCAAGTAGCAGAGCCAAGATTCAAATCCAAGTCAATGGACTCTAAGGCCACTGCTGTCCACATTGCATCACAGCTGTGCTCTAATTTTACAGAAGAAACTGAGGCTCAGAGAGGCTATAGTGTAAAACATAGCAAAATATCATATGCCTGCCTGCAACAAAAAGTATTAAAAATGTGGTGAAATATTAGTAATCTGACAAAACAGAAAATTAAATGGAATAAGTAGGTTTTAAAAAAAATAACTACTGGAACTTGAAGTAAAGCAGTTTTAATTAAAAGATAATGAAGAGGTAGATGGAGACTTTTGAAATTATTCTGAAGGGGACTTCTGTGCACTTTCAAGGACTTCAAAAAGCTGATGACGCTAGTTCTTCATTATAGCTAATTTAACTTCAAAACTTCTATCTTTCCTTTTCCTTGGTATATATGTACCACTATCACCTGTCAAGCTGCCCATATAATTGGGGATATTTTTGGGCTGATAAATGGAAAAGGGAAGATTCCCCCATTCCCAACTCTCCAAGATAAAAAGGTAAGAGCCATGAGAAGGTAAAAAAGACAGTTTTAAGATCAGGTATTTGTAATTCAGGAAGGATTATTATATGAGTTCTAAAACAGGTAGATATTGTTGGGGTCTAGTAAGAGAATCAAAGGTCATTCAAACGCTTTAGGATCACAGATTTAGAACTGGAATGGATCTAACCATCTAGTTCAACTCTCTCTCTTATTTAGGAGTACACAGAGACTTTGAATCCAGGTCCTCTGACTCCAAAGCCACTTCTCTTTCCACCATACCCTACTGCCTCTAGAACAGGGGCTCTTAATTTGGAGTCTGTCAACTTTCTTTTTTTATATTTTACTGTATTTCAAGATAACTGGACTTTGTAATCCTCTGTATTTTGTTTTATGCATTTAAAAACATGATTTTGAGAGTCTCCACTTTTTAGACTACTTCTTAAAGATGAACAAAAGATTCTCAAAGGAGCATAAAAGTTTTCCTAAAATTATCCGTAGTCAAATTCATAGCAAGGAAAACGTAAATCAAAATGGATGACAATGTACAAATCTATATTACTTCTTTTCAAAAAAACTATTATGGAACATTTTTTCAGTCTTTCTTTAAAAATGAAATGGAAAAAGGACATTCTTTTGGGGGCAGGGTGAAAAATATTTCCTTAACATAAATAGAAAGCTAAAGGCAATCTCTAACAACAAGTAGAGGCATGACTCAAATTACATTTAATGCCTGAGTGAGATTTACACTGAACTAGAAAAATACTTTAAGATGATGAAAGATTCTTCCAATACGATGAGATCACATGGGAAGGGTTCACTAACTTCAGCACTCTTCATAAAGGCTAACTTTGTCAGTCAAGAAAATTGACAATGGACTCAAACTTAAGGAAAACATTGTGGTTATACTGAAGTGTTTATATGGTTTCTGCTTTCATTTTTTAAGATGGAGTTACACAGTGATCTCAGTCAAAATGAATACTTACTAATTTTTTTTGCATGTCCCAAGGAAGTCACTACAACTCCATAAGAACATATAATTACCTCTGGCACAACCCCCACCCCCCAACTTCTTTCCTATTTACAATGAAATATTGGTTATTCAAAGAGTCTTGATCTAAGGACAACTTAGAAAGATACATTTCTTACTTGGGGAAATAAACAGAGTTCAATGTGTAAGACCTTCTGATATTGCCAAAAAGAGTAGCATAGGCATGCGTAGTACATCTATTAATAATAATACAGCTCCCAAATGCTAGCTAAGAGGACATTGCCTTAAATGGCACTGATTGGACCTTATTACTCTGGACTTCTGTTTAGCAAACAATATAAAGTAAAAATAATTAAAACACAATATCCTTTTGACATTGATTGAACAGAAGTTGATCAAGGTAAAAAAAAACAATTAACTTAAACTGATAGAATATAAAAGCAAAGTAGTATAGAGTATGCAGGGCATGGGAGAAAGAATATTCATTGGACCTCAAGGCAGGAGACCTAAGTTCTGAGACATTTACTAGCAGAGTTAGGTTTTGTCATCTGCAAAATGAGGAAAATAATGCTCACACTACTTAATCCCATAGGGTATTGGGGAAAGAAACACTTTATTGGCTTTTAAACACTACAGAAACAGGAGTTATCAATGATCATGGACAGCAATATGCATGATGCAATACAAATGGATCTAGGATAAACATAAATCACTGTCACCGAATGGATATTTCTATAGTTGCACCATGAAGCAAATAAACAGTATAGAAACAACTAGCTCATGACATGGGGATTATTTTATGTAGCTCTTTAAAAATATATTGGAGGCAACCATTAAATTGCAGGAGGGACTCGGAGCACTCAGAGTATAAAATTTGTATAAAATCTTTCAAAACCCAATTTCTTTAATTCAGAAAATATCGATCAGATGTCTATTATATTAGGAGCAAAGTAAAGAGAAAAACTAAGAGTGCATTTTTCAGAAGACCACACAAATAAAAACCAATAGGAACAGAAGTGCTTTCAACACCAACACTGATGATCTGTCAGTGTAATATAGAACGGCCTGTTTGAAACAGGTCTCATTTAATATTTTAAGTTAGTCCCAGAAATACAGCAAAGGTTTGCTCCTATTTGTTCCCAAGTGGGTCTAATGGTCTGGAAATAGCAGAATTTAGCCGAGAGTACAGAAAACAGGCATGAAGCAGCCGACAAGCAAGCCTCCTAAATCTCCTAAGCTAGGAGGGAGCCATGAAGCTCTCTAAAAATAGCAACTGCTTCATTTAATCTATATGAATGCAAAGTAATGCTTCAGTGAATTATGGTAAAATGTATGTACGTACTGGAATACAGTTAATGACTTCCATATAGAAATAAATGTTGAAATTAAATGCTTTTTAAGAAACTTTATAACATACAACTATTCTCTTCTACTAGCATGTAATTTGTTATTAAGGTAAAGTGGACTTTATAAAAAGTAATGCAACTCAAATGGCTTATTTTAAAAATAACTGTTAATGGTAGGACACTAACATTTTCTGCACAGTATAGTAGGAAGAAAACAGACTTTGCTTCAAGTTCTAACTCTATGAGACTCTGGGCAAGTCTCTCTTGCTTTTTGAACCTTATATAAACTGGGGGGGGGGGGGCCCCAAAATGGCCGGGGGGTGGGGGCAGAAGGTAACTCATAATGCTTACAAACTTCTCTCTTAAATGAATTTTGCGTGCCTGAATATTCCTACACTGACTAGAACAAAAACAAAAGCATAGCAACAGAAGTACGTTTTTTGAAGGTGGGCAAAGTACTATTTGGAAAACAATCCCCTTTCAAACTTCGAATTCTTATGGCATCCATCACACTCCACATTGTATCAAAGGTATCTGTGTGCTTGCTAGACTGTAATCTCCATTACAGCAAGGACTGAAGCCAATTCCACTCCGTAGCTCGCCCAGTCCCCAGCAGATCACCTTTCAGTAGACCCTCAACATAAACTGAAAAGTGATAAAGAACATCTTCCCAGAGTCATGAGGATGAACAACTTGAGGCAAGCTGTGACACCCATATCCCTTTCTGCAATTGACCTCAATTTGTTTCAAAGAGCCAAACACAGAAAAGCCCTCAAAAAAAGTCATGCCAGGGTGCTGCATAACGGAGTGAAAAAACAAACCCCTCTTCTACCTTCAAATCAAACAATTACTCATCAGCTACTTTGTGCTAAGGAAGATACAGAGATAAATAGCATATGATCCTTTCCTCCAAGAATCTTATAATGTTGGAGAGGAAAAGCAAAACTTCTCTCCTCCCCTCAATCTCCTGAGTGACAAAGAGCTGACAATGACTAAATAATGCTGTCAATCCTTCAGAGCAGGTACACAGGGTTAAAGTGTTGGGACTGTTACAGAAAGCTCAGAAAGGCAATGGGATTTTGTGGGTCATCTTTTCAGGAGACCAACCCAACTTCCTGACATAGAAAGTGGTGACTGTCAACCCTATCCTGGAACCAACAAAAACCTAACATTTTGCTGGATGGAAGGGTTCCTGGTTCCAGTCTTATTCCATCAGATTTGTGTATAAGTATCTGTGTGGACTAAGAGCGATATATGTAAACACAAGGATGCAGCCCTTTCCTAAGGCTGCATTTGCCCCAGGGGTCAGCTCCATTTCCAGTCCCACATGAATCCAAAGTTTAGGTGCAGAAACTGAGCCCTAAGCTGGAGTCAGGATCCAGCTGTTAAATCCCAGAGCAGACTGTCTGGCATCACTAACTGTACTTGATGTAGCCAGCCCCACAGCTGCCAAACCTTGATTTAAAGCACTGCCTTTTGTAAAAAGAACTATAATGAAAGTACCTTATGACTTACATAAAAACATTACCTTTAAATACGATCCATAGTATTTTGTTACATACGAACTGTCACACTGACTTAAAACAGTTATTTCTTGCTGAATGTCTTCTATTTCATCTTCTGCTTCCTCGAGGTCTATGATTTTAATAGCAACCACTTGCTGTGTCCGGTTATCAATTCCTTTAAAAACTTCTCCAAAGGAGCCTTTCCCAATGCGTTCCAATTTAGTGAACAACTCTTCTGGATCAGTTCTTTGATTCTAAGGAAGAAGAAAAAATGAGTGAGAAAGGGAAGAGAAAAGGAGAGGAGGGAGCCAAATATAATAAATTCCTCTAGTCCTTCAAGTATCTGTGACTCTGTCAGTGTGGGTCCAATCCTCCACAGATACAGATTACTTCTTATCTCTACCTTAGCAGAGTCTTCATAAACTGCTGCTGTTAAAAAACAAATCCATCCCCCTTTGGCCAACTTTCTGGTTAGGGCTTTCTCCAACAGCCTGGCTGGCCCTCAGGCAGCACATACTCATCACCCCAAGCCTGACCTTGAAACCTTTCCGGCCTAGCAGCCTTGTGCCCACCAGGGATTATTAGCCAGGTCTACTCTGTATCACAGTAGGGAACCACAGTCGGGATTTTAGAACATGGTTCAAAAGTTGAGGAAAACAAATCATGCAAAACAGCTGTAGGGAATATTGACTCAGCATTCAATTGCTTTGTCTATTGCTCTGGATTATCTACAGTTTTTTTTTGTTTGTTCTGTTTGTTTGTTTTTACCTTTGGCTGGTTATTTCCTGGCCCCTGGATTGGATAAACTCTGACTATTTGACCACAGCCAGCGCGTGGCCTACACATACTGCACTGGCTGGGGGACGGATAAACTTCCACTGCATCTATCTATCCACGCTACCTCAGCCAAACAGAGGGATAGCCACTTCCTAGATCTCCCCATCACACACAAATATTCCACTTCTGGGATGAAAAACCTTAACATTCTTCTACTTGAATAAAACCTATCATTCTCTCTTGATGCCTCAACCTTTCTGACCTTTTCTTTGTCCTTATCATAGCATCTTTGACCCCTCCACCTCTCAATACTTTCTTAATAGTAATGCTCTAACTTCCCTTTTCTCCCTTCTCATTTGCTAAGCTACCATTAGCCACTTTAACCCCTCATAGTCCTCTACTGTCTCATCTCTCATCCTATCCCCCTAAACCTGAATTACTTCCACCATCACCTCCTCTGCTCCCACTTATAGGCTTCTGAAGGAGCCAGAGCAAGTCATGCAAGATGACTGGGGCTACTACAAATTTATACTGTGTGACCTCAACTCAGCCTTCATTGCAACAAGATAATCTTTGTAATCTTCCCAAATTGACTCTCTATCCCGTTTCCCACAAAGGCTGTCCTCCAACCTTCTGCTTCATCCTCAAATCTCCTAGACCTTTTAGATCAGGACCTCACCTCAGGCTTTTAATAACAAGAGACTATTCACTGTGAGCTCCCATTTCACATTCTCTTCATCTCAAAACTCCTTCACATCATCCTCACCCCACTCTCTCCTCCTTTACTCTAGTCTCTGAGTATGAGGCAGCCCTCCCCCTCAGCCAGGCTAACAGTCCTTCCACAGGTGTCCTTGATCCCATACCCTCCTGTCTTCTTATGGAGATTGCCCTTTCAATCATCCTCTCTAACTAATCCTCAATTTCTCCCTTTCTACTGGTGCCTTTCCTGTTGCATACAATCATGGCCAAGTCTCCTAAGTATCCTTAAAATACCTTCACTTAGCCCTACTGTCTCTTCAGGCTATCATACTATAATGTCTCCTCTTTCATATCTAAACTACTAGAAAAAGCTGTCCAAACTTACTGCCTCCACTTTCTCTCCTCTGACTTACTTCTCAGCCCTTTGCAGTTTGGTTCCTAAACTCATCATTCAACTAAAACTGCTCTTTCCAAAGTTAGGAAAAATTCTCTGAATCACCAAACAGGATGATCTTTGCTCAACCCCACCCTTCTTGACCTCTCTGCAGAACCTGCCATTGCTGACCACCTTTCTTCGAATTTGTGCGATACTTCTCTCTCTTGGGTCATCTCCTATGTATGATGACTCCTCGGTCTCCTTTGCCGACTCATCATTTGCATCATGCCTACTTTGGGCACACTCCAAGGCTCTGGATTGGGTCGTCTTCTCTCCTTTCTCCACATTCTCTCGAAGAGCCCCTCAGCTCCCATGGGTTCAAGTATCATCTCTATGCAGACAATTCCTGGGTCTCTAGATCTAGCCCTAATTTCTCTCTGGAGCTCCTATCCTGCATTGCCAACTGCCAACTGAATGTTTCTTAATGGCTGTGCCACAGACATCTCAAAAATCAAGACTCAGCTCTCAAACGCTACATCCCACATGCCTTTCCTGAGTCCCAACTGCTTGTGGCATCCTTCCGTAAGCTACCTTGTGTTTATTTTGTATTTCCCCTTCCTTTTTCTCTTTGCATCCCCAGCAGAGCAGTGTTTGCCACATAGCAGGTGCTTGTTAAATGCTTCTTGATTGCACACATGTCTTTCTGTTTTTTGGGTATATGTTTTAATGTTTCTTGGTTTGTGTCAAGGTCAGAACAACAAAAAAATTTGTTTTCTAAGTGAATACAGTTATTTAACCCAAGTAATGCTGGTTTTCCTATCCAAATATTCAGAGAGCTGGGCTAAACTTAAGAGATCAAGATCAATAAATTTTAGTTACAAATATTTCAACCTTGGACCCAACTACAGTCCATTTAAAAAAGTATTCAAATTTCCCTCTTTATTTTGAGGGGTTGTCTTATGGCAGTAGTGAATCTGTATTTTATTCTAGCAGTTTAAAAAATAAGAGGGAAGGATGGGAACAAGCAAGCAGATTGGACAGTGGCCATTAAAATGAGCATTTCTGGCATTTCTTTGGTCAAGCTAACCACCACCAGAGAGGATAAGGTACCTCAAGTCTTCACTCCCCTTTGCTTTCCAGCATGGAAGATAACGAGCTTGAAATTGACGGTAGTATTTCATTGGTTTTGAGACTGCTGCCACCAACAAAGAAGAGCTCCTCTTAATTTTTGGCAGTTTGTCTGAACAGAAAGAAAACCTTCACAGTAGCAAAGACACACTTCTAAGCCCGCACAAATTCTTTTATGAGCCTGACATGAGATTGAGCAACATGTGTCAGGCTAATAAAATACACTAAAAAAGGAATTCAATGGAGAAAAAAAAGCAAATTTAATGAAGTCAACACCTGGTAATCTTCTCAGAACACAGTACAGCACCCATTATAGCAGATACCATTACAAGGAAATACGAAATACAAGCAAGCTACTTACATATAATAGTCGATCATGCAAAGCAACCATTTTTGTTTCAACAAATAATCCTATACAAAAAATGCCCGGCTTCCTGCCCAAATATCACTCACTCTGTCTTATCTAGGCAAGATTAGAAGCAGACTAAACTAAGCTACAACTGACTTACCTAGAGCAAGCAAAATGTATTCAACTTTTGACCTCTCAACTACCCCATCTATATATACCTAGTACATGTACCAGCAAAAAGAGAATTAGCAAATGCATTAAGAGAACTACAATGCTTTTGCCTAGCGTAAGATGGTCTGCTCTTCAATTTGTTACTAAACTATAAGCAATTGAGAGACGATCTTTATACTCCTGATGAAGTCATATACTTACAAATCATAATGTAATTCAAACAGAAACCACCTCCAAATTTTCCTTTAGCAGACTACCTTGATTCCACCAGTAACTGCATCTACTGCTATCATAAGAGAATACTGTTTTGAAAGAGTTCAATGAATTTTGTTTTACTCTACATTATTTTTAATTTTGAAAGGCAATGGGAATCACTACATATGCTCAATGTGACAACTGAAACTTGTATACCAAAGCAGAAGTCCCCAAGTTTTTCATGAAGATATACTAACTTTCCATTTTCCCCAAAGCCTTAAGGTCAATGAGGGGAAGCGGGAGAAGGAAAAACTGCTGAACTTTATTTAAAGTCAGGGGCAGAGTTGGGTATGAAAGAAAGGAAGCCCAGGCAGTAGAGTCCCTGACTATAATAGAAAAGGGAACATCCATCCCTGTTGACTATGCTTCCCTGCTGATTGAGAATCCTGTCAAAATCCAGAAGGAAGAGGTGAGCTATTGCCCTAAGAACCAACTTTGAGAACTTCTAGGCAAGGCTTTGATTACCTACCAACAGATATAGATCTAATGGCAAAGGACATTTGAATAGGTATTGACTTCCATTAAAATTTTTTTACCACCAGCATCTGTAGGAGATAGCAGAAGAGGTTGAGCCAAAAAAAAGGATATGAAGTAAGACATCTGGGTGCTTTGGAGAAGTCTGGATTAGTGGATATTTGGGAAGGAGAAATTCTGAAGAACAATATCCAGGCCCAGATACTGGTCTAGATTCTACTTCCAGGTTGGAAGAGAAGCAGGATCAAAAACAATTAAGGAGGAAATAAAAGAATTAAGGCGAGTAACAAGTAAGAACAGGGAATAGAACCTGAAAAGTTAGACTCAAGAAGGATAAGGAAAAGAAAGTTGGCAAAACAAGGCAGGCTGAGTAAGAAAAGGGAAAGGTCGAGCAAATTGACTGTTGTGAAGAGGGCTAAACTGGTGACACAGAAAGGAGATTGGTTCAAAGGTAAAGGAGAAGAGTGTGATTGGCAATTTTGTTGAGACAAAGCAAAGAAATTTGAGTAGGGTTATCTATAAAAAGTTTTAATCTAGGTGCTAAGGATTGATGAATAAATACCCACAAACAGTTTCAAAAAACAAGGCTGAAAATCTCAACCATGATGGACAAAAGGGCAAAGTGTATAGTCATCTGCATCAAGTGTGTAATGTTTGTATGACTGTTTCATACGTTTCAAGTGTAGGTTATCTTATATTCTTGCACCAGAAGATAAATGGGCTCAAACAATGTCTCTCTATACTCCAGGTTGTTTGGAAGAAGGAAGGGCTTCTAAAGGAAAGGGAAGGAAGAAAAAGAGGGATCTGAAGTTGAATAGGGAAGATTTGATCTTTGGCAGCATGACGGAGAACAGAAGAATGTAACACAGAGGAGAGAGGGAAGACAAAGTACATCTGGTACAATGAGACCTTGAAAACAGATGGGAGGCTCTTCCTGAAGAGGAGAAAGCTGGATGCTTTGAGGAAAAAGCTGCTTTTCCTCCCAAAAATGATACAGCAGAACCACAATAGCTGTCAGGTGAGAA